ATCTTACTCGCTCCATGAAATCGATTTCTTCCGGAAAAGCTCCTGACGGCGAAGTCGAGGATTACTTGTAATAACTGCAATAATGAACGCATGTATTTTACGGTCAGTCGATAATTTTACTAATATATATAACCAGGTATTATCGAAAGAGGGAGAAAATAGTTCCCAGAGGGTTTATCTAGGGAAAGTTCATCCTACTCGCTCCGTGGAATCGATTTCTTCCAGAAAAGCTCCTGACAGTGAAGTTAATAATTGCAATAATGTATTTTACGGTCAGTTGATAATTTTACGAACCAGTATATGTAAAAAATAGAGCAGATATTTTCGAAAGAGAGAGAAGGAGTCTCCCCAGAGAGCTTATCTAGGAAAAGTTCATCCTACTCGATTCGAGAGTGAAAGTTCCCCGGCACGTAATTTGATGCGTATATCAATTACGTCGTCCACGAGATTATTGCGCGACGGAATTTCTGCGGAAAAATCGCACCGCGGAGCGCTGGCCTTTCGCAGGACAAGTGTCAAAGTTTATTTAGCCCCGGTGTCTATCCCCGTTCTAGGAACACGTCACCTACCAGCGTTTCTGCTTGTAATTAATTATCGTGCGCGAAGTGCAATACCGCTCGTCGTAGCACGAGTAATTAATGTCCGCCGTCTCGGTAATTAATCGCGCCTAGCCAGACGCCGATGTCCCTTTCGATGCGCAAATCTTTTCGCCGGCGATCGTACATCTGCCAAGTTTTACAATTCGCTGTAAAGGCTCTCTGGGTATTAGTGCGGTGGACGCAGGTGCTAAATTCATTTTCCAACGGCTCTAGGCTCTGGATCCGATTTTATTCAATCCGATCGGATTGCGCGCGAGAGAGAGATTTGCGATAAGACGACGCCAAATTGTCAGAATTGTTTTCGAATGGCGGTGAATTTCGGGCGCAATTAAATTGAATTATGGAAAGGAATTACGAAGAAAACCGGGAAGCGAGAGACTGGTCTACGGGACACACACATACACACACGTACGGAAACACGTGCGCGCGCGTGTGAGTTCGTGCTAAAGTGCGACATAGAAATTATTGCATATTCCTGCACGTTTGAACGATACTCGGCCGACTAAAGCCGCGCGTGAGGTTCAATCTCTCATCCGGCGATGCATCTTCTCCGAGCCGATCTTCTTGGAGGGTTTCCCTGACACTCTGTCAACCCTCAGCTGAATCTGATTCTCTCTTCTGGATGAACCACTGCGTCCCCGGCACGAGAAAATATTTCCGTGGCAAATCTCGCTATACCCACGTTTTTTTACATCTCGACGATGACACGTCGATCACGTCATGGCATATCCGGGGGTTCGTCCCCTCGTCAACGTGTCTCTTCTTTTTTCCCGAGGTGTCTACATTTAGTTACAGCAGGAGAAAAATCAACTCGCGCTTGAAGATTAATGACGGAAAGTAGTGCCCAGCTAATTACGCGTACATTTATTACGAGACTAATCCAATTACGGGGTTACGAACACCTCGTATGACTATTTTTCTCCGTTAATTGATGACGTTTGCTAATATTTTGACGGGACATTGTCTCTATAGGCTAAACATTTGAGATTCAGCCGCAGCACCTACGTAATTTAATTGTACGTATAGCTTGCGTCGCGCCTTTGGCAGATCATTCCGAGTAATTAATTTTTCGTCCTTTTTCTCTCGGTGTTTCGTCACAGCTTGATAACAATAGCTTCAACGCAATAAATCAACGAAACACCGAACGTCGCGCTGACGTTACAATTCGGACACGGCGGACACTTTGATCTCACGGACGTTTATTAATTATGCGCCTCTTTACCCGGCTCGCCAATACCGTCGCGCGCGCGTGTTGCAAAACTCGCTTTGGAAGCACTGCAAACGGGTAAACGGATAGTCGAGCAGCCTCCTTCGCGCGAAATAAATACGTCTGGCCGCATTTTTGGCCGGAGAGGCATTATGTCTGCCGGTGGAGCACGCACCGTGATCTTCTGGGGCAGACTGGACACCGGCCAGGGCCAAAAGCCAATCGGTGCATCGCGGATCATCGCGATTCCATTATCCTTCCGATGGCACGATTCCTACGACTCATCCCCATACGATCCACAAATCAATGCGATTCGGCGAATAAAAGAAACTCAGCCCAGATAAACTTGCGGACCTTCACAAGGAATATCTTCTTCATCCTACAATCCTTTATACCGCCGATAGAATGAAGTGTAGAGATTTTATGGCTCAGAAATTGTAATCACGTCATCTTGCACCGATTTCTCGACGGACAACGGCGGAGTCTTGCTTGAAAATCGTCCGTCCCGAGTCTATTTTAGTTTCCACCATTAAACGATATCGTTCTCGTTGTTGTATCGTTGAACAATGTCATGGCCGCTACCGCGTCTCCGATCTTGCGATATCATTATGGCGTAAATATTTGGCTCGAGTCCAAGCTTATCTATCGAGCCGACTCTCGTACTTGAGTTATCTAAATATTTTCTTTCCGTCTCGGGGCCACCACGTAGCCACCGATCTTGCTTTCCAGCTCCGCTGGTTTAACTCGATGGTTTTGCGCGAGAGATGACGATTAATAATCTCCAAACGGACCGGGAAGAGGGAGACGCGCCTGCCTCTTCTTGCTTTCTTCGCCGACGGTGTATTCTGTTTCGGGCTTTTGGGCAAATCCCTGGACTCCAGCGGAGTTTGGACGCCGGCCAGGGCCACCGGCCAACCGGTCATACTTGCGAGCCCTCAGGAATCATTCCAGCCTGCAATCTGTAGAGCAACTCGAGAGGCCTCCAATTTTTGCTGTACACCGTCTTCATTTCCTCAAAGTAGACTTCAGTTTAGTCCTCGCGACAAAGGCGTAGCTCGTAAAGACTTTCTGTCACTTGTCGTTTACTGGAGTCCTGGATGAATCACAAGAGTCGTCATTGAAGGGTACAGTCCGATTGGCTGTCTAGACCGAGTGATCCTAGCGCCATTTTGGCTCCTTACTGCATTTAATGGACAATCGGTGGTGCAATTTGTACGTATGGTAATTCACTGGTGAAAATTCATAATTGTGCGCAATATTTAGCTATTATTATGGGGCAAGCATTCCTATTTGTGTAAATATCAAATGTAAACTTCATGTAATCTGACCTTTCTTTGAAAGCTATATTGACCTCCTCCCCCTCATTAGTTTTTCTACTTCTAATAATTTAAGCCTTTTCCTTCAACATTTCTTCCTTGCGAGTACACGGAGAGAGGTTTCTCTTAAAATTTATTCTGAAAATCATGCAATCGTGGAACGACATGGCATTTCGAAGAATTGTATGCGACTTTTATTAAAATTTCACCATATATTTTACTAGTAAAATGCATGGCAAAATTTCAAAAAACTTGCACAAAGCTCTTGAAAATGCCACGTTGTCCCACGATTACATGACTTTTAGGGTAAATTTTAAAAGAAAATTCTCCGTGTATTCGTATAGCAAAACCAAAATAGCGGCTTTAAACCTCTGATTTATCTAGAGCTCTTACTTAGAACGTGTCTCGCTGGCGATTCTCGAATTGAAATTATCGTTCAGGACACCGTACAAGACTTGACGCGAAGCTGGGGAGGCTTTATTTATCAAATTCCGCGTGCCGCGGTATATTATTCACCACGTTCTGCGCCTTATTCCGCCTCTTATGGCGACGTGGTATATTTACAGAAGTAGGACAATATCGGAAAACTTTTAATCTTATTTCATCAAAGTAGGCTGCGCTCAAACTATTGACCGGTATAGCGTCGCGGCTATACATAGCTCTCGGAAGCGGCGTCCATGGAGGAGCCGCCGTGACGTTCTGTCCCGGGTTGATAACGCGGCTCGACACGATCTGATATCTCTCTCTCTCTTTCTTTCTCTCTCGAGGACTTGCAATCTCGCGGATTTCGCCGATCGTGGCCTGACCCTCGTGGCTGGCGCGTCGCCAAGTCTTCTTCCCTCATCGTGTCTCGCTGTCTTCTTGTTCCGGCTATATTTGCCTCGGCGTGCATCTAATTCGTCGGCGATGACGCTTGTCCGATCGCGCGCTACCTCGTGCACGTCAATAGGAATTCGCCGACTGTCGCCGTCGCTGATCTGCCTCGTGACGCTCGCGCGGAACGAACGGCGGAACTATGGCAGTGTACAAGCCCTAATTAGGGTCAGGCGTCGCGGAACGTGTTCGCAAGTTTGCGACTCCGCGCTGGCGCATGAACTGGCACGCGATTCCGCTCACCGGGGATAAGATTGCGTGGGTCGAGGTGAGCAGGCGAGCCGCCTGTCTTAATACGCGGGACTTTGATCCTCCCAAACTGAGGGACGATAAACCGATAGCGCGAGAGATACGCGAAACTCGTTAACGTCGCTAGGAACGTTGGCATTTCGTCCGGGAGACATCATCTAAGTTTAGAGAGAGCGCAGGAATATACCCGCGCTGGTCTCGCTTCGGAGCAGCTTAACAGTGACGTTACCCCGAGGTCAGACGGTATCAGGGTAGACGCGAAGTCTGAGCGGACACCAGCTACTTACGTATACTAATTATAGGCTCGCGCGGCAATTCTGTCGTTTATCTCGCAGCTATTCCTTCTATGCATCGCGTGCTGATGCATCCAAAATGTGACGATATCGGTGCGTTGAGCAGAATCGTGCGTTAAAAACATCTGCTCACGAAACTGCGTTCAAAACATGACCCACGATTATCGTCATCGATTAGCAACCGACATATAATTGTATTGTACAAATTTGTGTTTTTATATTATTCATATTGTTAATATTTTATATCATTAATATTTTATATTATATAAATGTCGAGTATCACAATATCGCGCCGTAATGCCCTTTTATTTCGTTTCATCGACAGATTTCAACGATTCCGAATAATTTTCAATTATTCGGAGCATTAAGTAAATTATGCATACGTGCGTTTGTGTTATTGAAGCTTAATGTTTCACTAGAATCCTACGAAAGGCACTAACATAATATTTTTATTTCATTGCAGGAAGTCGGCAGCATTATCGGGAAAAAGGGAGAGATCGTCAAGAGGTTCCGCGAGGAGGTAAGCATCGATTTCTATTGCGAAATACGTCTTCTGATGCTGAGAAAAAAAAGAGGGAATTACGTGTAATCGCATCACGTGTCGCAAGACGAATATTTTCTACGTGAAAGCATGTAAATTGTTATCACTGTCTTCGGTTCGGCTGTCGAGGACAAATTACATTTTCACGTCTCAAGTTTGTGTTTTCTACTTTAATCATTCTTTCACTAATACACACTAACTTGACCTCAGAATAGCAGGCATTGATTATCGAATATCGGAAGCTGAAAATAGCTTTATATGTATACACAAAGACCCATGATTGGTAATACTTTTTTTTCCGTTCGCTCAACGCAGTCCGGCGCGAAAATCAATATCTCCGATGGTTCCTGCCCGGAACGGATAGTGACAGTCACCGGGCCGACGAACTCGATCTTCAAGGCGTTCACGCTGATATGCAAGAAGTTCGAGGAGTGGTGCTCGCAGTTCCACGACATTCAGGGTGGCGGTGCCGGAGGCGGCGGCGGTGTATCGAGGCCGCCCATCACACTCAGACTGATCGTCCCCGCGTCGCAATGCGGCTCCCTGATCGGCAAGGGTGGTTCCAAGATCAAAGAAATTCGGGAGGTCACTGGCGCCTCGATCCAAGTCGCTTCCGAGATGCTGCCTAATTCGACGGAACGTGCAGTAACCATATCCGGTACCAGCGAGGCGATCACGCAATGCATATATCATATCTGCTGCGTTATGCTAGAGGTACGTCCAGCGACCTCGCAACGGTCGAGCATTTTACAACTCATAGTTCGCACTTTGACACTTTATAGAAATTGTCGTCCGGAAAGACTATAGCCGGTAGCAATTTACATAATCGTAATCATTCACGAGCGTGCCATTGATTCCGTTAAATACGTGGCTGGAAACATTTATTGATCTGCTGACAACTAACAGCAGCACCGGTATTCGAAACGTAAATGCAGTAATTATCGTACCATGTTGATCGAATCTTAAAAGAATAATCGCATACATTTAATTTCAGCGAATCGTGATAAGTTAGATCAACCTACTAAAGTCCAGAGTAAACAGTATTAACAACAATAATTTTTTTTATTCCATTTAAATTGTTTGCATCATTGATAAGTTTCTTGAAAGCAACGCGGCGTGTATGTAAACGGTAGTCTCCTTTTGTAAGCGACATTTTCACGAAACAATTCTTCCGAGTCGATATGTCATTTTTGGACTTTAATAGGATAAAAGGGCCATCTTTTGATGATAGCGCGGATGCTGTACCAGATGTAATGGCTCAATCGGTGTATTCGCACTCGTGCGTGTGTTTCTTTCTGTTTCAGTCCCCTCCCAAAGGTGCCACGATCCCTTATCGCCCCAAACCCCAAGTCGGTGGGCCAGTGATCCTGGCTGGTGGGCAAGCCTACACCATCCAGGGTAATTACGCGGTGCCCGCCCACTCGGACGTAAGTACAGTATTACCATTGCCCGCGCCCGTTGCCGGGCCCACCCCGCCCTCGCTGAACACCCAAACTTTGACCTCGCCCTTCGCGGCCCACCCCTCATCCTCGGCCTTCGCCGCTTCTCACGGGCACCCGCTCCTATCCACGGCCCATCTTACGACCCCACATCATCCTCTCCACCCGAGCCCCTTACACGCCAGCGTGGCAGGCCTCGCCGACCCCCTGCTGAAGAGTGGACACTTGCAGGCAGCCCTCCCGCCCGCACACCTCGTGGCAGACGCCGTAAGTCTTTTGTTTTTCGTGCTCCACCCTCTCCCAAACCCCCTTCTCGATCACCAACCTGGCTACTACCCGGGTAACAATATACATACGATGGATTTCCGTTCCACTTGTCCGAAAAGTCAATACACCCTCCCGCTTCAGTGTCTCTTCACTGTACACAATCCTTAATATATCCGGCAAAACTGCAAACTGGCAACCCCGGCAGATGATTGAAAGTTGAAAATGATTACGAGGAAAGAGACGGACGTTTTACGGAAAAACACAGTGATTTATTTCTTTAGAAAAGTAGGTAATCTTATCTCTGAAATTCTTACAATGAGAGGCTAGTATTATCGCAGTAGAGAATTGATATTTCTCCTTTATTTACAATGTGTTTCAATTATCTACATTGCGTTTTTCTACACAGTAGTTGAGAAAGAGAAATCACTTGCGTAACGAATCTAGGCTCGTTCATCGTATTACTGGGATTAATTTGCGGTTAAGTTAATGCGCAATCGGGAGGGTAGAAAGTTTTATAGATAAACGAATGGTCAAGCGTGCAGTTGCAACAGCGACTGAACATTGGCTTTCGTTAAAGGCGAAAGAGCACGGTGATTGTGAGAAATTCGGAGATCAACGTGGGTTTATTTAGTCGCGATTCTTGATCTTTTTTTTGCGGTTTAACTAGTTCTGTTAAAATTTCCTATGTACCGAATATGAATTGGCTATAGTGAGTATCGTAAATCCCAATGAATCTCTTATTTGGAAGTCAATGATAGAACATTACTTCGGAAAGTAATTCGAGATATATTATTCGTTACATCTGAAGCTGATGTACAATTTGTACAGCACTTACATCGGGTTTCGTAAATTAGTCATCCTTTCGTTAACAAGTGAGACAACATTTAATAACATATTGAAATAATTTCCGCGTATCTCGTTTATAATTACTTTGTACAAGTCACTGGATAACGGTAAACAATGCGCTGGCGAAAGGATTCATACTGACTTGTCTCTGGATTCGAGATTATTTCAATTTTCGTCAAATGCCGTGGAAGCTCATAATATACTTATCAATATATTTCATTATTATCTAGGTCACTTGGTCTCCTTTTCCTCTTGAAACTCTTTGCTGTCCTCTGTCTCCCTTCGCGTATATGCATCAATACCTTGGCTTTCTGCTCGATATCCCCGTACGGTCTTGAGCTTTCTGTCCAGGAATATTCGTGTCGCATATCCTGCAAATTTTCTTAGATTGCGTGAAGATGCGACCGAGAGGATCCTGTCGCACTATTAGCTCTGACCGTGCATACCTTCAAACCCTCGTGTTTTCCAGTCGCGTGACTTCGACTGCAGAAACATCTGATTAAACATAACATGGTGGAACGAAATAAGGCATGCTGTAATTATATTTAATAGTAACTTCCAACGCGACCACGTCAGAATTTACTTTGTCGCTGAGCCCGTCGTTGGAAGGTCTCTCGTATCAGAAATACGCCGTATTCGCGACCTTTTTTTTATCAATTGAAAACAGAACATTTCTATAGATCGCTATTTAATAATAGTAATTCAAGAAGCTCGTTTTCTCTTTCACATTTTTAGAATGAACCAAATATCTTTCAACGATTATGCTATACCAGCGAAGTCACGCGAGATGTACCAGCTTTGCTTTATATGTGATCCGCACGTGCTGTTACGTGCATGCTTTTTTCTCTGGATTATTTTTTTCTTTACCCTATAGATGTTCACCGATGCTTCTAACAAGCTCGACCTGAACCTGTGTACACGTATCTCCTTTCATAAGCTTGCGTTTGGTAGTGAGTTAATCACTTAAAAAAATTGCTTGCCGTTCCTCACAGTGCATAAAGAATTTAAAGTTGCATGCTATGTTAAAAATGTGCAATTGTACGACGTAATATATAAGCTCCGATACCAGGTTGAATTAACGAAACCTGCGTTAGTATGGTTGATTTTAACGAATAATTCTATTTGCACGCGATGTATCTAGTTTGATTCACGCCATTTCAGTTTCAATTCTATTGAGATTAATTGGGATTAATATTTTTATCCTTTTCATTTCATTTTGGTATTAGCAATTGGACTGGTTCGCGTCTTTTTTTTATTGCAAAATTTGAAATTTGAAGCATTCATCTACAACTTGGTATCTGAAAATTTTGGTCGTGCACTTAGCCACTGCATTTATATGGTTCCATTGATGATCGTATTGAACTACCAATTAGCTGTTCTCACTCTCTTGTATATAATCTACTTTTATCTCCTATCGTTCACATCTACGTTTTAGATGAGAAAAATACAGGATGTGCACGTAGAGTTAATCGGTCTCTGTAATATGTATTCGGCGTACAGACGTGCTGCATCGAGCAGACAAAATAGCCCAGTTTTCTCGATACGATCATCGTCCGAGAGCGGCAATTTGTGCGCTCTCTCGGAAGGAACTTGGAGGCAAATGTCGGGGATTTGTTCCGAGCCTCGCGCCGAACGATCGGGCCTGCTTAGCATGAATGCTTGCTCACGGGTCGCACAATGGATTCGTCATGGCTTGTCGTTGGATTCGGTCAGGGAGAGAGTGTGAGAGAGAAAGAGAGAGAGATACGTTTATAGAAGGTCCCAGACGTTACCGCTACAAGTCTCCACGAACGGCTTGCGATCAATGAGGAGGCCAAATCACCAAATAGCCGACGCTCTAATTCCGGGCTACTGTGGTAGTGCTTTGAAAATCCACTCATCCGGCCGATCGATCGGCAGATGCCATGAAACGTCACCCTGATAAATGCCCGTATGATCAATCGGATCGTTCTCGAGACGCGAATTTCATTGAGTACGCTACATCATTCTGTTAATTATCACAGTTTACTCTTTGCTATGTTTTTTTTTACATTTTACATGTTCACACATAGTATAAAACTCGGTTGGTTTAATTTAGTAGAAAGGTTGTTCTGTGCCCTCACATTTGGATATTGATGTCGAAATATCAAAATATCAGATTGTCGGATCTGGTTTCAGTCTTCTGCCTTTTATGATGATTAAATAAATCTGATAAATTTCATACGCTTTGAAATGTAAACGCAAATTAAATTTCACGTTCACTACTAAAGTAGATGAAAATTACTCGCTTTCTACGTATTCCACTTCGTTGATTTATATATTGAAACGCGTATTTTCCGTGGAGTACCTTTTTCAAATAGAAAATTGTAATATTTAATTGAAATCTTGTGTGCGACGAAACTTTCGAGACCGACCAAATGTTTTCATAAAGCATTTATCAGGATGGCGTGTCGTCGTGTCTCACCTCTGTCCTATCTTCTCTTTCTGTGCGCTCTTCAACGACCGACGTCCGACACGGAGCCCGACTTCCTCGAGTCCGATTTGCTACCCGGAAACGAAACGAACGAACACGAGATGCGCGATAAAAAGGAACGTGTCCATACCATAATACGTCCTATTATCCACAGATATATTGCGGCTTGAGCAATTCTCTCTTTTTATTTTTTGGGTTTTTATTTTTGTTCCTTTTTCTTCTTTTTTTTCTTCCTTTCTTCCCGTTTGATCTCTCTTTTTGTCAACTTCGAGAGACGTGGCTGAAAAGGGTGGGGTTGATCGGTAGAAGCGATGAAATAATGAATTATGAGAAAATCACAAACGAACAAGGACATGCATGCGTGGCACGAAAAGAGGTAGATTACCTAGATATATTATTACTATTGCGCTTTAGATCTACTTTCACGATCCCATCTTTAATACTTTCTCAGTTTCTCAGTCTGCTTGATGAACTCTTACGGCTTACAGTACACGGTTATTACTTCGCTTCTTCTCCTGATACACTGTCACCGATTTTGTGTTTTTTGTTTCTGTTTATCTCTACACGGTCTCACATAAGAAAAATCGTTCCCTGCTCTCCTCAAAATTGACTTTCCTTATCCGGTCACAACCAGACTTCCTTTCAGACTCAGTTGAGAGCGCAGGAAACGTTCAATCTACTTCTCGCGTGAAATTGTTTCTAAGTATTTATTTCTCGCTTTCTACATCGAACATAATTGTTCATCTTTCTGTTGAGTTTTTATAGAACTTTAATTCCATTATACATGTCACATTGTTAACCGCATTTGAAGGATTATTTTTCTAGTTTGTTTTTAATAGATAACATGACACACAGGACTTATTCAAATTGCGAGCTTTCTGTAGAAAACTATAAGATTTTAGAAAAAGATTAAACATTCTTTTACTGTGATGTCTGTACCAATTTTAGAACGTTCAAGTGTTAAGAGAAACAATAAATTTAATAACATAAAATTTTTATCTTTAACATGGCACATTATCCAAGTGAAACAGTTTTATTTCGAGTGTTCCAATTGATATAAAACGCTTTAGAAGAATATGAATTTTCTTTTAACTACTGAATAACATTTATAACGTGCCAATCTATTCAACATAACTATCAATTACATTTATTTGTATTCGTAAATCTCTATTCAACTTCAACTTCGCGAGAAATAAAAAGGACAAGATCCTCTTTTTACACGTACACGGTCATAAATACACGTGCACACATTTAATATCGCTCTTGTCGCGCTACGTTTTGTTCGTTTCTCCACCTCCATCCTGAGTTGCTCATTGTCCTCTTGGCGTCCTGTTTAGAACAGCATGGCTTCCGGCACTCTTTTAGCTAAGAGTCAGCGACGAGTTCGTGTAAGGGTGGGCTGCCCTGTACATTACGTTTCCACTATTTAAGCACATTAGAGATCACGTCGGGACGGTTTGTCTGCGAGAGGAGGCGTTTACATATTCGTGAATAGACCCTTAATACAGTTCAGATAATTTACCGACTGTAGACGATCTAAGTCTCTTTTCTTGAATTTCCGGTTATTGAAAATATATACGTTTAACGATTGAATAACTCCACGGATATGAAGTATTCTTCGGTTATATTATACATCAATATTAAAAATTTTGTATACTCACATTCTACGTATATCACAACGATATAAACGTATATATTAAGATAATGTGTTGTATTAATGATGATTTTACATATACACATGCATTTTCTTAATATATATAAATCAAAATGTGTATTTTATACAGTGCAACAGCGCTTAGAAATTCTGCACACAAGTTAGTTTAGATGACAACAGTGATATAGGGAATGAAATATTATCATTCGTTTAAGGACACGACACATATATACATCCCATCCTTCCCGTCTACCTTTCATTTATCATCCTTTTTAAAAATAAAGATAGAATATATCATTAGTAACTAGATACAATTTTCTTCAAACGTTTTGTATCTGCTTCAAATGATTAGCTCGTCTAAGTGCTCACGAAATAATCGTTGCAGCCAATCAAAATAATTTACGATTAATCATTAGAATGTTTAGTCACTTTGTGATTATGATGGTAACTGCAACATGTCAATAGGATCGTAGTGGATTATATTTGACGAAATGCGATAAAATCTTTATTTTTTTTTCGATGCAAATAAAATGATACTAAACTTCATGTAAGTATTTGTAGTTATCACGTGGAAACGGTAGGTGCGAAAAGGAACTGCTGCGTTACATTTCGCGCGATTTAACGATATCGCTAGGTACACAAGGATATCCATCTTCTCCCCGCGCTCGTTCGCTCTCTCTTTCTGTGATTTCTGAGCGCCCCTTCCTCGTCAAGCTGTCCCCAAGTAATTTCTGCCACGATTTTCGAAGTAACGCAACGCGATAGTTTATCTTATCGACGGCCATACCGCGTGCCGTTTATCCTCCCAGAGCAACGGGATATATATCGCTGTTTATCAATTTAATGCATTTCAGAGGCACGCGAGATTTTATGCTTCTGCGATAAATGCGCGGAATGTAGACTGCCTAAGGCGGCGACTGGCGGTTCTACTAGCCTCAATTTCTGCATACGTCAGAAGCGAGGGATCGTCTTCGACGGATCACGCTGCTGTAAAGACCGAAATTTAAAATAATATTTCCAAAACAGGTCGGGTATCGCCACAGCACGGTCAGGATTTGAAAATCGAGCGACGGAGTTCTTGTGGGCGTTTGAGCCGAAGCTTTAATAACTTCTCTTGCTGAATATCTTCTCTTAAATATTGATTGTTACTGGGGGATGCGTCCTCCAATCTGGATATATTCTACGATAGTTCCCGTATCGGATTAAGAATGCATCGGCACGGAAAGATAGCGAGTACGCAGAGATAAGTTTTAACGATTAAACGAACCTTATTGCATAAGAGAAGCAGGAATAATTGTCGTTAAAACTTGATTCGTTTGCTACATTGAAGTGCTCTTTGCTCTGGGTCGATACGCGTAATTGAAAACGGCTCGCTCGAATGGCTATCGTAGCGCCCGTTATGAGGAAGCCGTCGGACCGGTCCCAGGAAGTCGGGACGAGGCGTTGATCGTGTGCGTCACGACGGGATGAGTCCGGGACAGTCGAACTGAATCGTCGACGTTGCGCGTGCGGAGGATGTCCCCGTCCCCCTTCTCACATAGAACCGAACGTTCTCTCTCAGCGAGGCTGCCCCTGAGCTAAGAGTTCTTGCTCGCAGTCGGAGATCCTCGAGCGTGATGCGCGAGGTGGCGAACATCTTTCAGGCATACATAGATATATACTTCTCGGTGTCGTCGTAAACCTCGACCCCTCTTAAGCACACCCCCGAGTGATTGTCCGACGCCCGCGTACCCCGCCCGCCCCCCCCTTCCCCAATTTCTGAACGATGGATCTCTTCGTCGTTGTTGCAGATGGGCAAGCTGGGTAGCAATCCTCTGGCAGGGCTGGCGGCCTTAGGCCTCGGAGGTCTCGCCACACCGGCGAACACGGGTGGTCTTAATCCAGCAGGTAAGTCAATATATATCTTGGAGAGATTTTAGATCGGCAAGTATCCCGAGTATCGATGTTGTCTGTCTGGCAAGAAAGTTGATGTAGAAAAGATTGGCACACTCGTTTTGTCTTCATAGTGGTATGTATCGAGTCGTACGATGTCGAGTGGGTGTTAGCCTGTCGATCGTATCTTATGACTCGCAAAAGAAGCAAATTGACGTATTTCCACTGATGTCATTTCCTTATCTATTATATCTCGACGATATTTTTTATAATTGACCGCGACTGGGTGCAGCGGATGCCTGTTGAAATTTGCATTTAGATACACCGTCCATTTCAAAACTATGTTAATAGTCGATACTTACGGTATTGCGATAAATTCTTCCTGTATGAACAAACTTTATTGACTAAGAGCTACACTAAAACAGGTTCGCATGCTGCAATGAGAAGTTAAATTTATCTATAGACTGTTCCCACAAACATTAGTTAAAGTTTATTGGAGTTCTAGAGCAGGACTAGAGGAAGAGAGGTAGAGGAAAGAGCGATAGTATCGGTTAAACCGCAATTCAACTTCCATGCAACTAATTTATGGGAGCAGCCTTGTACAAACGTCTTCCGTTTGCCCCGTCGATTATCTAGCTCTGCAAAGGGCAACTTTTTCCCCCGTACCTTTCATTACGAGCGCGCTGAGATTCGGGAAAGAACTCTAATAATATTTGCGCAATTGATGGTCGCGTAGCGTTAGCGGCATTGGCTGGAAGCCAGCTGCGTACGAGCAACACGAACAGACAGCAACCGGCGGCGAACAATCAGACGCATGAGATGACCGTGCCAAATGAGCTGATCGGTTGCATCATCGGGAAGGGCGGTACCAAGATCGCCGAGATCCGTCAGATCTCCGGCGCCATGATCCGAATCAGCAACTGCGAGGAGAGGGAGGGCGGAGCAACGGACCGCACGATCACCATAACCGGGAATCCGGACGCCGTGGCGTTGGCACAGTATCTCATCAATATGAGGTGAGTACCACGCGGCCTGTAACTACCAATTTCCCCCCCAGGCCCATTAGATCGAAGGTCGACCTTCGGAAGACCGACAGGAAGTCATTCCGAGTGGTTCGGCTTTCGGTGTGTCACCGAATTCCCCATTTTTAATAGAATGGCAGTCGAACTCGTCCCGGCTACGTTTCGCAGTGGATCGCGATGCATTTCCCCCTTGATCTCTCTTTTTTATTTATTTTATTTCTTTCTTCTTCCCGCATCTCTGCCGACACCGCCGCGCGCCAGCCAGGTTGGCGCGCGTCTCGCCGGCGTAGAGTGACTTCTTGTTGACCCCCTACACCCCCACGATCGAGATCCGCCGATTCGCCTGTTTGTTGAACGCTACTCGTTCCTCGCACAACCTGCTGCCTCATTTAACTTTGATGTCTTCCTAATGGTGAGACTATGTAAGGGATAGTCGAATCGGCACCCCTCGCGATATCTCCCATCATCATTGTTACCACCCTGGCTCACGACAACCCGCGTACAGATGACTTTCCTTTGCCCATTAAGCTATATTGCTCATTAGCATAAATAAACTATAAATTAATTCTAATAAAATGGAAGATACACTTTTAAGAACATCAACGGAATATTCTTAACTATACTCGCATAAGGGGGATGGTTTTAAGACTATTTCCATGTAATGGGGGAGGGGATGGTTGATTATTTCCATTTCTTCCCGCGAGAGATTTGCAGTTTCAATGAATCAAACGTTAATATAGACATCAAAGAAGATTTGTTCTCTGTTTTCGAAAGGAGTGTATAATTGGCATTAGGGGAAAAAAGTCGTCTCTACTGCGTGTCGCCGCGAGAGATGTTATGAAAGAGGTGGCGTTACGCTGAGAAAGACACCACCGCGGGACGGGCGCGTAAATCTGTTGACAAGGCAACGCAACGGTAACGATCGCGAAAATCTCCCCGGCTGCGATAATGGAAAGAGATCGTCGTCGCGTAACGCCACCTCAGTTTACAGCGAAACAGGTCGTACGTAGTCGTAAGGTAAAGATGCGAGGAGAAGACGTCGCATCGACGGCCATGCTCGAGGAGGCACCAGCGTGTGCAGATACCAGAAGACACCGACGTCGGCCGTGAGACGGAAGAGGAATCTTAATCCTTTATTTCCAGGTCCTGTCTTCCAGGTCCAGTACCCCGAGTATCCTGCAGACACAACTCCGCTCAACATCTGTTCCCATTGTCGCTGGCTGTCCTTTTCAAGCAAATAAACTACCGACCGAAAAACATAATTGAAAAGATGTAGGAGGACTGTCGCTCCGTTAGTGACAATCAATCCCGAAACAGTCCCAGACAAACGTATCACAGTTCCTCCTTTCAATTCGGTTTTTTAATGACACAAATTTCTTTCTAGTTTGACAGGCTCCCGGTAATGGACGATCAGCTTGTAACATTTACGCTTATAATTCTGTTTTGTATTCGTACGAATACTCGGCTCGCGGGAACGGAAAGAGAGATACCGATACACTTTGTCTTCGTAGCCGCGAGTATTTCTCTGGTTATTACACTCGGAAGAACGTATCGCACGAACCGCGTCGCGGTCTTTATTTGCGCGATAGATGTGAAGGGTCTCCCTTGTCCTTGCCAGGAACCTTCGCCGTAGCATCTTTACATTTTAGTTATATGCTTTCATCGCTGTTGTCGTCATCGCTTAGTGTTCATTGGTCGGTGTCGAAAGATCTCTGTGACTTATTTTTTTTTTTTCATTTTTATTTTTACCGATTTATGCTGTGGAACTAATCTACTTCCATCATAGCGACATTAAAATGGTGAACGGTACTAACGTAGTCGTCGACGAGACTCGAGGACGACAAACAAAAGTCCGCACAAGTTCGCGCCACACGTAAGATCCCACCAGCATCAAGCCGAGTTTACAGTTTAAACACGCGGATCGACACACTTTTACACCCTCACGTTTATAATTATAATCCATTATATTTTATTCCAGATTGCCACTCACATTTTACTACTGCATATAAATAGCGCAATGCCGTTATATATATTTATCATCTCGATACTTCTGTATTTTGCCCGTTAACTTTGTCATCGTGTTTATTACGTATCGTGTATCCCGGCACTCCCGTCGGCCGCGGGTCTGCGCTCTGCCATTCATCTAACCCCGAGTCCTCTCGTACGGACGGCGCACGCTTCAAAGTCGGCCGTTCATCGTCGCGATTAGACCTCGCAATCTCAATCAGGCGAAGGGGCGACGCGATTTGTGGCAGAACGCATACTCGTCGCGCCTGGTTTACTTTGATTTCTGCCTTTTCTATAAGCCACGAGGGCAAATGGCTCGTTCTACCGACGCACCGTGGAGACCAAAACCGCCTCTCGGCCATTGACGCGATTCACGAAACCACCGACGTCCCACGGTCTCCCTCAATGACGTCTCCCGTCTGTACAACGAACCACGTGCCCGTTACACCTAGAAAACAATCGCATCGTTCGCAAATCTACTTATTAGTGGTGGATGTGACATTTGTTTTTTTTTTTATTCTGAGAGAGTAGACTAGCGAACGCGTGTTTATCTTCTTCATCACTTCTTCTTCCTCTTCTTCTTCTTCATGTGCATCCTCCGCTGCGTGCTCCTCGCGATCAGGGCGCATCTCTCGACCGATTCCGTGTTCGGCGTCTCGCCCACCGCGGACACGGCCGGCCGGCGCTCGTCGGAGTCGGCCTGTGTCCGGCACGAGTGCCCTCGGTAGGGTCTAAATGCGACCTGACGCGATCGAGACCTTCCTTCCTCCCCAACCCCCCACAAACCACGTAGCCGGTGTACGTGATAATCATGCTCCACAGAGCACCTCTGACGTAACTCTCTAAGCCTACAACTTGTGATTTAGTTTCCTCTTTTCTGATATGGTTTCTTTCTTCTCTCATATATATATTTTTTTTTCTTTTCTTTTACATCGTCTTGCGTTCTCCGCGGCAGCTACTACTATTATTATTATTACTACTACGGCTACTACTCCTACTGCTACTACTACTACTATAACTCTATTGCTACTATACTTTACTTTTTATCATCTCTTATGTTCTATTTTTTTTTAAATCTCTTTGACACACTGTTTTACGAGGAACGTTCCCGCCCTCACCTTTTTACATTTTGTGTCTTTTCCCCAGTGTCGAACTGCAGAAAGCTAACCTAGAGGCCCAAAATACCCAAACCCCTGGCAGCGGTACCACTCCCGGAGCATCCGGGGCCAGTGCTTCCCCCTCTACCACCACTACCACTGCCTCTCCCTTGGCCAGCGCCATCCCCTTGGCTCAGCTGCTAAGCAAGCCAGGCGCCCTCAACGCCCTATCTAGCCTCACCGCCCTCGGCGGACTCACGGAATTGCTAGGTGGTGCTGCTGGCGCAGCTGCATCCGCGCTACCGGTCCAGACTACCGGCGTGCACCGATCGCACAAGACCTTTACGCCGAGGCTCCGTAGCCCGGGCGCACCAGGCCCGACCGACAGCGGCAAGTTCAAGTCCGAGCGTACCAAGTATAATCCGTACTGAACGAACGGACAAGCGACGGGATGATAACGATGATGTTACAGGGGAACATTAAAACACACACACACACACACACAAATACACACACATCTTCTACTACTACTACACTTATAGCGTACACTTGTGTAATACACCGAAGTAAAGTGCGTACGGACGCCAGGGTAGCGAGTACGAAGACTTGGCGAAGGATCAACTTGTTTTTTTTTGTTACCAAGCGATTGTTAAGATGGACACGATTGTCTAAATGGGTAGATGCACGCGCCCAAGGAGGAAGATTATCCTCGATCGTACAAAGGATCACCTCCAAGCGATCGACGACTGATCTTGGAAAAGAGTGTCTCCTTCGGCAAAATGAAGCATTTTTTTATCATTTTTCCGAAGACAGCATACAGTTGCTCCGCTCGCCTATGTTTGCTCATCTCCTAAGAATCACTGTGCGAAAATACATTTTGTAGGATTTTTATTTGTGTTTTTTTATGTGTCATATTTAGCCGAGGAAAAGGATAAGAAGAGATTGGAGCGTTTGGAATCCTTTGCATTATTATTAAATCGTATGATCCGATGCTAAGTCTTAGAAACAACACATATACTATCGTGACACGCCCTCCGAGATCGGGATGTTTCGACGCTATCGTGTAAAGACTGATTGTGTGATGTAACGAAGTGGCGGAAATCATTAACGATAAATTTTCTCTCGAGGTCCCTTACAGCTAACGACATGAAGCTTTAGTCATACGTTTGCGTTTCATTCTCTACGAGCGGTTTCTGATAGGCTCGGAGGACGCGATCGCTCATGCACGTCGCAAGACAGCCTTTTTTTTATAAATATATAAATATATAATTACATTATTATAATAATTATTATAATTATTATTACAATATTATGGATTATTAATTACTGTTTGAAACAAAACTCTTATTATAGTGTAACTGTTCCGATGTGATTTTTTTCTCGTATAGTAGATAGAAGTTCTACGATAAAAGAGAGTTTTTTGCGCGCGCGTGGATGAATATGTGTGATGAAGAGAAAGGGGAGGAAAGTGCGTAAGAGAAGTCGTCTTTGGATCATGTGTTTATCAGTCTTTGTAATAAATTGCGTTGAAAAAAATGCACTATGTCATAATCATGTAACGTGCTTTAGATGACTTTTGCGGTCTTCTTTCTTACAAAAGAAAAAAAAACGTATCCGTAGCCGCGCGATTGAGAAGTTCGCAAAGAGTACGAGCACGGTGAGTTTTGAAGCGTCGTAATCGACCCTCGCAATATGAAGTAATCAATCAAGCTATACACATAGTGTGTTGTTGTAATAACGGTAATAAACTTAATCCTTGTACATCTGCACGCGAGACGTCTAGAGGTCTGCATGGAATCGCGTGTAAATTATGTTTTTTGTGAAATTTAACTAATAAAACACGTATACACACAGAAAACACGATTTCTAATTCCACGGTAATTCGAGCGTCTTCTTGATCTACTGTTTTGTAAGTGAGATCGAAAAACGTGGAGTCGAGAAACGTCTGGTCGCGGAAGAACATTCAATCGGTTAGATCTAAGTCTAGCGTAATCGCAGAGTAAAGGGAGAAGAACCGTTTGGACAGATGTTCAAGATGTTTCATTGCTTGGATAAAGACGATTGATAATGGAATCACCAGATAAGTGTGTTTGTGTGCTCAATCTCCTAGTTCATAGCGAGTATTTGCAAGTAGCGACCGATCGGACTTAGGACATAACGATCGGGTTATCCCGAGTACTGAACCTTATCGCGAGCGTGGCCATGGTTCGTCGGAACGCGCGGTAATCGCATGAAGAATCGATCCCGTTCGCAGAAAAATATTCCGATCGGCTCAACCGTCGCCATGATCGCGAGATATCTTCATTCTTCTACGTTTTTTTTCTTTTGTCATTTTAGATTGTACGGTCTCGTTCCATTTTCTTTCTCGAGACAATAAAATCACGCCCAGGATTCTAAGCTGAGGACTGTTTAGGACGAAAAAAAATCATAAATGAAAAAATTGCGAAGTTAATGCGTTAGAGAGTCACACACAGTCCCATCATGTAGGTACATCAAGTAAAGCAATGCGCATAACGCGATAAGTCGTAAAGCTGTACTAGATGTAATTAAAAAAAAAACAATACTTGCGATATTTAATGAGAACGAATGTCTTCATTCGAGACAGATATTTGGTAAAGGAAGCCATTGCTATGCCTGGTATTCCTGCATAGAATCCTGTAGGCAGATAATCTTCAGCTGTACATTAGTCTATAACGATATCGCAGAGCTTACATGCTTAACAGACTTTAGCCACCCTGTATCATCTTGTTAAATAAAGCTAGGCGTGTTTAATACAGTAAGAGAAATACAATACCAAATAAAAATAGCTCTGGCGTTCCTGCGAGTGAGGTCCCGCAATGCATTGGTACTGCAGGAAAGTGATTGTACACGAGCGTGTTCAATAATGCGAAGAATTTTTCTCACGACCATCTTTTTTTCCGCGTAGCAGACCAACACGTTCCTCTTCCTTGGCTGATCGGAAACGAAATATCTCCAATATATTGCGCGACCACCTTTACGGCACCTGAACGTTTTATTACCACCTTCTTTTTCAAGCATACGACATTCTTCGCATTAATCTTTCGGCGATTACTGAATACGATTCAAGGAAGAATTGAAATGAAAGAGATGTGTATCACTGCGTTTATCACACTATTGATCAGGGACGACTCTGCATATGAAGATATCTCAATTTGTTAGAATGCGACATGGCTTCTTTCACCATTTGTTTCAACTTTGCCATTAGTAACAGTTACATTTCTAACGCAATTTGACCTTTTTTTTTTACTAGAGTCTTCTCGATTCTTATTAACGCACGCACTTTTTGCTGCCGAACCGATTGTACACAATTTGAGCGTACTTCGATACATTCAGCGCCGTACATCTTTCTGTGCAACATTTATATCAATCACGGCGAACGCGGGATTCAGGACCGACCACTTTTAACGCTCAATGTACGTTAAGAATAAGGTCTATTGAAGCCCGTATTATACATATGTATCACGACTCACCATGTACACGTAAATGTTAAGCGTAATCGGAGAGAAACTCGTACGGAGAGAGCGAGAGAGAGAGAGAGAGAGAAAGATGTAGATAAACGGAGAGAAAGTGAGAGAGAGAAAGAGAGAGAGATAGAGAGAAGATGTATCCATCCAACCAACTTGACCCAGGCTCCTGCCCGTTTTTGGTAAGCACCATCCGTTCCTTCGTAGTCCTGTTAATCGACATATCCTGTTGGCTGCGAAGTTCTCATTTACGTTTCTTAGTTCTCTTTTTTTTTCTTTCCAATTCAATCGTTGCGCAATTTTTTTTTTGCCAGATATGTACCAACCATCTGAATCCTTCCGAGCTCGCGAGGAACCCTCGGGTGAAGTACGTATCACGCGACAAGAAATTTCTGTAAACCATCTCCGGAGTCGCGCGATAACGTTGCCACTCCGCCGTCCTACGGTAGTAACGGCCTTGTTTTACGACACGTATCTCCAAGTTATCTATGATAACGCTCTCCGATGGTTCGTACAAACTTCAGGCATGCAAGAACTAAGAGACACGCGAGCTTTAATGTACCACGCCGGAATACGGCTCGCGGAGAGCCACTAGATTCGCGTTGCATTCCACTCTTCCGGGTCGCATGCTGCAGCGTCTCTGCCCGGACGAAAGGGCCAGTTGGTCTTTTCCTCCGATGCTGAGAGCGCGTCGGGATCTTGTCTCGGGTTCTCTCCTACGAGTACGAGGGAGCGTCTGGAGAACGCTTGAAAATTCTCAAGCGCGAGCGTGCAAAATTTGAGAAACGAAGTGGATCGATCTTCGTTAGAGAGGTCATACGGGACAGCTCTCCCCCTCGTACTCGTCGGGGTGATGCCGCGACCAGCAGAAATGGATCGTCGCCTTTTCTCATGACGCGACCGATTGTGTTTCAGGATATCGATGGAGACGTCGGGGGTGCCTATGCCCGCGTATCACTTCATCCCGCCGGACCACATTGTGAAATCGCCCATCCACTAAATGTGGAGAGCCGTCGTGGTCGTTGTCGTCGTCGAAAGGACGCGGAGCATCGCGGAAGCGCGCGAAGCTGTCAGTGGCATATGGGGCTGGGCCACACACTGTGTTCAGCTTGCAAATCGATACACTTGCAAAAAGAAACAAGACACACGACAGTGAGAAAGGGACAGAGAGAGAGAGAGAGAGAGAAAGAGAGAGAGAGAGAACGAGAGAGTGAAAGAAAGAGAGAGAGAAAGAGAGCGAGAGAGAGAGAGAGAGAGAGAGAGAGAAACATACACAATACGTACTCACGTAGGACACTCGCACGTATTCAGAAAGGGAGTCTACTTGTGCGCGCTTTAAATAAGCCCATGTACGTTAAAATCGAACATATATTCTAATACGACCACAGATATACGTAAGAAGATGCGTACGTACACATACACAGACACATACACACATGCGACAGCCTGAAGGAGGGTGAAACGTACATGGAGAAATGATGAAGATACGCACGCGCGTACACAGACACACTTGAGTGTACAAAACTGTACAAAAGTTATTTAAACAAAAGAACAAAAAAAAATAATGATGCACGCCGCAGCCGCCGAGCTGTTGCCGATTGGTAAAGGGAACAAGCCAAAGATATGTTAGTTTTCATTTTTATATTTAAACGAAAAAAAAATGATGACGCGAGACGGGTGAGAGATAAGGGAGAGAATTATTATTATTAATTATATTACTACGAACGCGATGATGCTAAATAATATTAGGCCGGTTGTTAGCGTTTTTTCTATTGCATACGGATACACCGTCGCGCCGACGGTTTTTCGCGACCGGTTCGCGAGCTTCGTTCATTCGGAAGAGGAGCGACGTTGCGCGACGGGGGCGCAGCTTGGTACCGCGGGACTCGTTGTTCGGGCAAACCGGTAGTCGAAGAGCTCAGAGCGAGTGCGAACTTGTTACTTCCGGTAAAAATTGCAATTTTATTCGAGTATGTAGACACCGCGGATTGTACGCGTGATATACAATTGATATACAATCGAGAGAATGAGACCACGTGTGTCTTCAGTAGCGACTAAATATCTTCGTCGTTTGCAGCCTTTTTAAGAAGCGGCGATATCGGCGGGCGTCTCGAATCGCAGAGAAGGGAATCTAAATTGCTCGACGCAGATATCGCCGATGTTTAACTTAAGTTCTCGAGTGAATGAGCTATAATGAGGGTTGCACGCGTCAGAATTTCGGAAATTCTTAGGACGGAGCTACACAAGTCCCGCGCATCGAACTCTTCGACTGATCATTTTCGAGGCGCGCGTTCTCGGTTCCCTGATGATCGAGACATCTTTCGGAAAGTGTCTCCGGGTAACTTGGAGGATTTCAAATTGAATCTCACGTAGACTATATCGATCTCGGTAGCGCAACGCGATAACGCGCGACCGATCGGCGCGTCAATCAGCGAGGAATGCGTGTCGGATGTCTCGACTGCGTGGTCTCTCTTGTCCCACATATCTTTCTCGACCACGCAATCGAGCGTCGATCCGCCACGCCGATATTGCGCACCGATCTCGGTCGCGTTGACCTCTCGCGCCCCACATGATGCCGTTCCTCGATGACGTGGTCTCGCGTGGTCCCCGTCAGCGCATCCGCGGCCGATTTTCGCGGCCGCGAGGTCGGGAGTCACGAGCCTCGCGATCAACTGTCGTGCGCGCGGGAGCGCCGAGGGAAAGTCAAGATAATTGATATCGCGCGCGGTGGGAAAAAATTTTACGTAGTTGCGTAGCTTTTGCATGTGAATCTTGGATTCCAAAATTGTCGGTGAAAGCTTTTCTTTCTTTTCTAAAGGGGACGGGAAGGGGGGAGGGGGGAAGTAAGAAAGAAAGAGAAAAAGTCGAAAAAAGAGAAAAAAAACGACTGCGAACGTTCGCGCCGCCGATCGCTCGGCATCCCAGCCGGGAGCGCGGGGGGAACGAGCGGGTTGCGCGTCCTAGCGCATCCTCGGCATCATCCCCGACTGTTCCTGGGCACCTTCGGCGCGCCTTCATCTTGCGGTGATCTTGTAAAGTCGAATGTCGAACACCGGCCGGGGGCGATGCCGAGCGCGCGCTTCTGTTGAAGGAACAAATGAAATTATTACGTGGAATATATATAAATAATGATATATATTATATATACACACATAATATATATATATTTATTATACGCGATAAAGATAATTAGAGAAGAGATAAATAGCGATGAAAAGGTGCGAGCTCAAGCCCAGACTCGACCAGACTCGAGGCATCCTTTCCTTTCTTCATCATCCACTTCAAGCCTCCCCATTGACGGTTTCGACTCTTCTCCCCATATCGGAATTTGGTCCCACGCTTGCGGTTTGGTTCGCGATTCGTACGGACCTCGCAATGACGATATCTTTTCTTTGTATAAATTTTAAATATACATTCTTTCGTATGTACGTTTCTTCGTTACTATCTTTATCGACTCTACGTTCGCGTGTTATTTTATAGTCGTTACGACATCGATATTTATTAAAATTATAACTTTATTATTCGGAAGAAAAATGCGCGCGCGCGCGCGGCACTGTGCAACATCTTTTTGAGATTATTTTATTCTAGTAAACTATTTATGTATACTAGTCTGTACAAAATTTACGAAATAATCGTATTTCGAGATTTCTTGTTGGATATTTTATATTTGTGCCTAGTTTCGGTCTCGATTTATGTTGAAAACGAGTTAAAGAAATTATTATTATTAAAAATGGGGCTTAAGAATTGCAGAAATATACAATAGCTATGTAACTAGTTTCTAAATTTCGTTGTAAGATCAAGTTAACGCCAATGTAATTGGCCGTGGCGCGGACGATTTACACCTTGCGACTTGTATCCTGTACCGATAACTTCCATTATGTGCCAAACGTAAATTAAAATTTGGAAAAAGAAGGAAAACCATTTGTTAAAAAATGTTAGTCTGTGCTTCCGGTGTTCAGCTCAATTAATAATCGGTGGTCTTCGCGCGTACGTATCACTTTTATACATCCTATCCAATTTTTATGAAATTGCTCTTAATTTTAATATGTAAATTAATATCCGCAAAAAAAAGGAAACTATAACGTTGATAGCTGTATCAACTCTCATTTATGTTTGTGTATAACTGAACAATGTTGTGGGTCAGTTTTGTGATATATTTTTTGTCTCGTTTTGTTTTTATATTGAAAATATTTTGCGGTGCACGCTTCTTTTCGATGCGCATTGTAAATATGTTTTCACGTTGTACATATTTATTAATCTCGGAGCATCTCCTTGTTTATACGACGCTTATTAGTCGAAAATATATATCAACATCTCGCATCGACATTGCGGTTTCACCTTATTTATTAACATCAACGTGTCTTCTCATTTTGATCACAATACGCGCCTCTCCATTTTGTTTGCCGAAGGAATAAGTTGCACACATTGCTCCTCCGTGCAAAATTGCGCAAAATCCAGTTGTGTCGTTAAATGTGGAACTCGCGAATAATGTTACGAGCTTGGGATCGATTTTTTTAAGGGAAATTTTAATCAGATAATATATATCGCAATTTTTTATGGATATAATCCATATGTTGACACAATTGTAAATCTTTGTTAGTGTTGGTTCAAATTTATTTAAAGAGTAGGTTTCTTAAAATGTCTGCTATTCACACTAGAAAGTTTTGTGTCAAAATCTTTCAATTGCTAAAAATTCTGACTGTCGCCAAAGCCGCAAAGTCAAATTTTCATAAGTTGACGTCGAACGTCGCACTTATATGTCCATATTTTACGACACAATTTGTATATATATCTTGCGAGAAAGAAAAACGATTCCGTAAGGATCCAATGCATTTTTTTTTTAATTCGCCGGACAAACTAGATCGTAATTGGTACGATCGATCGCGAGAGTCCGTTGGTGACTCGTTTAAATTAGATTTGAGAAATTTAATCCTGTTATTTACAATTATTTATATACATGCTATTTGTGGAAAATCACTTTTGTTATACACTTCGAAAAAGAAAAAAAAAGAACGAAGCAAAAATATTTCTCTCTTTTCTCATCGCGGCAACAAGGCACTCCTCTCACATCTCCTCCTCTTCACCCCCCCGCTAACGCCCTTGCTCCCCCATTCTCCACCGGTAGATAGACAATGATGGCGTACAGTAGTAATTATATAAGGGAAAAAAACGGCAAAACATGAGACAAGCAACGGCATCGAGCGACAAGTAGTCTCTGCTAAAAAGTCGATAAAAAAAAAGATGAAAATAACAATTAGTGAGAGACGCTGTATGATTGTGTATATCAACAATAAATAATTGCTGTGATTAGAATCGATTATATTAGTAAGTAGTTAAGGATCAATTTTTAAGGCACTTCGCGGAGAGAGAGAGAGAGAGAGAGAGAGAGAGAGAGAGAGAAAGTAAAAAGAGAAGGAGTACTTATTGATATGTGGTAGAGAAAGAGATGGGAAAGGGAAGAAAGAGAGTGCATGTGAGTGTACATATGATCGTTTACGAGCGCGAAAGAGAGACAGAGAGAGAGAGAGAGAGAGAGAGAAAGACGCGACAAGAGGATAGGGGAGATTTTTAGGACCCACTTTATAAGCGACTGAAGTATGTACGTGCGCGCGTGCGTATAATCCTCTCGAATCGCCGACAGAGGTATTATTCGTATCCAATCGCTAGGAGCGCGGAAATCCTTAAATCATTCTCTGATACTCAAATCAGATTAAAGAGAAAAGAAAATAGGCCGTCAAACGGAGCGAGCGGAAGACGATTGCTGCGCGCGTTTACGTTTAAGACAAATTACGATCTCTTCCCACTCGAACTCTGTGTCTCTTGACGAGTCCTTTCAGTACCGAATCAGATGTAAAAATTCGATCTATCTTTTTTATTCCACTTTAGCCACTTTTTAGAACCTTGGAGAATATTTTATATTTGTAAACGTGTATATTATTACTCTATGTAGGTTAATGGTATTATTTAAATATCTTCACGTACGGAATGTCGCTGCTGAATAGCTGACGTCACTTGGGTACTGGAAGGGTCAGGAATGCAGAATTTGCACAGAACTATCGTCGCGAGACGAGCGTCGAAGTGGACCGAAGAGGCGATGAGACCTCGGTGACCTTTCCAAGTGCGTCGAGGGGGAAGAACCACGTTTCTTATCCGCGCACAAAGAACACGGCAGTAAAATGGTGACCACCAGCTACACGCTTAGGCTACCCTCCATAGGCTTCGAATGCGTCTTCACGAAGTAACGTGACGTATACTTTCCCCTTTAACGAACATTTCGAACTTGTATCGCTACGGACCACGACGACCTACTCTTAACGAACGTACAATTCAGAGTGATAAGACGGAGACATTCTAATTCTTGCTATCAATCTCGCTTCGCGGAAATAGTAATGGAAGATTACCGTTTAAGTTTCGTTTTTAAAAAGCCGTTGCGCGTGTCGTTCGTATCCAAAACGCGTGCTCGTAAGAAGAAGAAAAAAGGATCGAAACCTATATATGTTATCTTTTATTATTGCTTTCCGTACGCGTTGCGATCTTCTGAATTTCAAGGCGAACACTTTGTCGGAATGGCAGTTACCGAAGTGTTTTACATTTCCGTGAGCATCGTAAGTTATCGATAGCGTTAAAAAACGATTCTAATAGTTTACTATGGTGCAGGCTAAGTGTCAAGAGCAATAAGTAATAAGTGATATTTCTCGTAAGGAACGTATACGACACGGTATAATCCAAGCAGTTTTGAATACGGACGCGTGTGATAATTTGTTAATTATAATAATTATAATATAATAATTATGAAGCTCTCTACGCGGCACTGACGAGTAAATGGGATTAGAAGTTGAACGAGATAAAAGCTGGAAATTCTTCGGAACTTCGGGGATCCGGCGAAATTGAAAACTCTGTTCCAGAGAATTATGTAAAGTCGGAAATGACTAATTTTCTGCTTATTAGGAAAGTTGCCAGGCAGAATCGGTCCAGCAGCATTATCTCGATTGAGAATCCCATTCACTTTTCAATTGGCTCACTTGGCATTATTGTACGTAATTAAAGAACGGCGCGACTCGAAGACGCTTAATCGTGAGTCGCCTCGTAGCCAAGGAACAGCAACGCGGACGAGAAGAGCCTATAGGATTAATTTTTCGGAAGATTTTAAATCGTTTGTCCGCCGCCGTGCTGAGATTTTAATACTAGCTGGGATTTACTTCGCCTCATTTCGCAAAGATTTGATTCTGCTCGATGTGCACTGAGTTAACTATGAACACTATCGAGAGCTATTACCTTAAAGAAAGAACAGGCTTCTACGGAGTTTGGAAGCGAAGTAACTGTTGGGCTCGGGTACTTCTAAAAGGGAACGCGCGAAGCTTCCATCTGGCTTACGTTTGGCACGTAAGCGGCTAAAGGCGATTATGTTGTAGCTGATGGTTTTCTCGTTACCGCTTCCAACCCACCTACCACCCGAAGATGTCCCTTTGTCGCACTGACGTATTCCAGAAGCATATCCAATGACACATATGACTAGGCTACGAATAATTAATATCTCTTTTGCTCCGATAAGCTAGCCTGTATTTATCCGGCGTGTATCATCATTCAGAAATCGATTAATTGTACATTTTGTCGGGGCACCTTTATATAGGCACTTCGATACGATCGACTCTCTGTAGCGTCTAGCGATCGTTAAGATATCGTCTATCGCGTGTTCGAAGAAAAAAAATAATATCGGAGAGATAGAAACAGGTATCTACGCAGAAGTAATCTAAGAACGATCAACGAGGATTAGGACACGTTAGATTGTATCCCCCCCCTTCCCCTTTCCCAAGATCTGTTGCACCAACAATAGTTAGCACTAACCGCAGTTAACGATATAGTGCTTTCTGTATTATAGGTAGGGATGTGTTCTCGAAGCGAGAAATATCTAAAATGTTAGTTAGTCAGAGCTATCTGTGCTGTTGGCCAAAAGTCATTTACATGTAAGAAAGCTTGCGTTTATACAACGGTTAGACCTAACTTCGGAGCAACTGACGCTGACCAATATTTCAACGAGGACGCGGTTATTCTCGCGCGTGTCGGAATTCGCTCGGTGAGCGGAAAGGAGGGAAAGAAGGAGGAATCTATAACGCGATCGTTGAAGAGTCCCGGGTACGTACGCTCCTTCCCCCTCATTACGTTAAGGTGCGTACGCGAGCTAGTCGGGAAAAAAAAAGAAAAACAAAAGAAAAAGGGAAAATGATCGGCGGCAAAATGCCAATCGTAGAGAGCGGGCACGGGGAACCCGGACTCGCCCTACGGACACACAGTGGTGTTGAGGAAGAGCGGGAAAAGCGAAGCGGGCGTAGGGAAGAGAGCAGGTGTCAGCATTCATTGCGATCATATCGTTGTGGCGTAGAGCAATCTGTTAGTGCAGGGGCCTTATCCTTATTGCGTGGGTCCCACCGAGGATTGTCGCGATCGCAACCGCGGGCCGTATGCTTCGCTAAGGAGGCGTAAAGCCGGGAAGACTTGGCGAGGTACCGAGCTCGAATCAGATACAAGTACAAATCGGTGGAAGGTATCTGCTCTCTCATTTTCAAGGTACGTCCTGTACGCCGGCCTTCGGAACAAACGGCCCGTGTCTACGAGAAAACGAGTTGTGAGAGCCGTACTCGGGAGGGATGGAATATACGCGTGGCTATCGCGCGCGCGCGCGCCGGCAGCTTCTCCGATGTTCGGAAAGCCGTTCCCGCACCGGGGAAACGAACGTCCGCGGCAATTCTCGGCCAGGGACCTAACATTACCGTAACGCAAGGCAATCAGCTAAGAAATAAACTTAGTTTTTATAGAATATTGAATCGCGCCCTTCCTCCGCGGCGGGGCGTGGAATTTAAAGGGCAAAGCCTTCCTTCCTCGCGAAAGGAGAAATTGGGGGCGGTTGTTCGCGACCTCCTGACGCGGTATTGTCGCGCGATTCAGAGGTCGGATCAGACGACAGACAGATTATTCTGACGAACTACTGTAATATTCAAAAGTGCTATTTGTAATTGTACCGTTACCAGCTGCGCGATGATCCAGCGGGAAAGAGTCTCGAGGGCTACGTTGGCGCGGCAATTGGCGTAAAATAAAATATATGTGACGAAAATACGGAACAAGCGACACTGTGATTGCAGCGCTTTCGCTGTATTCATGAGATAATGTTTTATTCTAAGAGTAGCAAAACACCCGAAGGATAGATGATTCCTAACGTTTTACGAACTTTTAGACAGTCAATTGCTATTCGCCGCTTGAAAGTAAAAAATTCGAATACGCGATTGGAATATACGATTAGAATATGCATTTATGGTAATCAGTGTTCGGCAGCGTAATCGGGGAAATTTTCGTATGCGCGGCTAATTGAAGCTCCGATTTTAGACAACGGTCTGTCGTCTAGTCGGTCCTGACATCGCGATTTTTCCCTGAATAAATTAAGGCGAACTCAAAGTCGAGCGCACGTGGTCGACATAATGAGGAAAAGAGGCTGTCGGCCATGGAGCCAAAAGGGTCACCACTTGACGCGATTTAGGTGCCAAAAATCGATTGTGAAAACTCATCGCCGAGCGGCTCAACTTTGTGCCAAGCTACCACAAATTGCGAGCAGTATAACACGTGTGCCAAATCGCTGTTATTAATCACTCCTGTTTCGGGTAGCAAATCCCCCTGACGACTCCACGAACGTCGACGAGATACGCTCGTTTGCGCCCGCAAGTTTTCATTTCAACGCCGCGTTCTTGTTAATCCTGTTGGTAGCCCGAGTCGAAATTTTGATACTATTTTGACACTTTTAAGGATAATTTACACCCACTTAACTGATCTATACACCTACATAGACCAGCAATAACCTACTTTGATGACATTAGATTTTTTTTACTCCTCCCTTGAATCTTTTATTCTAAAAATTTACTTTAGCTCCTACTTGAAAGGACCTACAATACTTTAATGCTAAATTGGCAAAAGTAGAAATTTCCGACACCATCAGCTTTAAAGTAGGAGTAAATTTTGTACTCGCAGTTCGACCTCTTTTACTGTCTTAGGTCCTACTATATAATAGAATTAAAGGTTCAACATAGAGCCAAGATTTCGACTCGGGAGGTTTGCACAAATTACTACAAGTTAATTTAGCTGCGCGGGCATATTTGTTACACTAAGTTATAAGGATTTCAACGTAGAAGATGGACGCAAGATAAAACAATTGAGTACGTTTTAGACAATCACGAGATATTATTGATACTTTTATAACTTGATCTGTTTTCTTTTTATTGTCAATGTCTTAGAAGATTGCAATGACTGAATTCCTGACGTATAAATTATCGTTAGACAAAGTATTTCTTCTCGCTATTCTTCTAGCTCGTCCTCCATTTGTAAATTTTGTAAAAAAAAACATACGGAAGTTTATAATTAATATAAATATATAATTTTTATTAAATGCAATTGCTTAAGACGTTTTAAAGTAACAGTTTCGATTTTTCGACTCTAGTTGCACCGTGATGCGAATATTGCGCCTGAATCGCCGCGAAGCCGCAAAGCAATGGCAATCTCGTCGAATCGACGCGTCAGGATGGGAAGTGAATTTTCTTGACAACTCGAATGTATGTAAATTAAAGATTGCGCCCTAGCCAGATGCGCGGCAGGACGCCGAAATTGTAGAGAAATATGATATTACAATTTTGCGCGGGAACCTCTCAGTTTCTGCACTTGCGATACATTGAAAGGAATGACTCGCGGGGATTAAGCGGAGTCATTTAGCTCTCCTCTCATTAACGTAATTACCTCCTACCGTGTTTTTCTTCTTCTTCCTGCTCTTTTTTTTCCTCTTTAGCTACCGATCGATTGAACCCGCAACAATCTGTTGTTCAATCTGCAATAGATTGCTCCCAAGGCAGAAAAAGTCTGATCCTAAAGACAAAATGATCTTATAACTTATCGTGAGGGTGTTCCATTTTTACGAAAACGTAAGTCATATCAATTATCGATGAGAACAATAAATTAGATATCCCCTTCTTTGATGAGAAAAAGTGTTCGTTATAAGATATTGTATTTTCGTAGAATATGCGTATGTCGCGATTTGACAGTAGAAAACTTGGAGCTATATAACTTGGAGAGATGCTAAAGCGGCACGCTAAAATATTAAACGGGAAGCGAGCGCGTCAATTTTGACGATAGCGGTATCTGTATCGCGGTCGCGCGAAGAAAAATCACACGGAGATTTTCATCTATTAGGAAAATGTGGCGACGCACTATTGCGGATTGTTGCGACTTCATCCACCGTCGAAGTCTCCACAGATTACTTCTACGTTACGTTGTTCTTCCGTTAGCCTTCTGTTCGCCGTCGAGAAGCGTCAAATGAGAAAGAAAAAAGAAAATACGTAACGATAGGGGTAATTCGTATTCGAACGTACCCTCTATTCTCTTCCCAACGCAGTCGCGTCTTCTCGACCCCTCTTTGTCCCTTCCTCTATCTTAGAAATATCCTATTTCCTTTATCTTCCTCGGCCAGAAATCGATTTACGTTAGGAAGCCTTTACGAAAACAGGGTCATAAATACTTACGTATAATACGAGTATTTTAAATTTTTAACGCGAAAGAAAAACTAAGAGAGAAAAGGGATGAACAAAACGAGGTGTAGTAGTGCGATGTAACAGAAAAAGAGAGAGAGAGAGAGAATAAAATTTTTTACAAAAAAAAATGATAATGTGAGGTGTAAAATGTCGCGTGTACGATTTGCGACTGCGTCTTTCAATGCGTATAGAGATCGCCCTTTGTAACACGTGCGCGCCCCGTGGACGCGTGTACGCGCGGAGAGCGCGATATGTGATCTCATTAGCCGAGCTCTGCGAGCCCCTTGATCCTTTCAGCATCCCTAACCGGATGGATGAACCGAGCGTCTCGGATGTGAATTTTACCTTCAATTGTAATGTACATCGCGAGACTTTACGATATCTCTGCTCTTAACGTATAATTCGTAGCCGTTACTTTGAAAATCCAAGGTGTGACAAGTACACACGGTGTCGACCAATAGAAGTTATTACGTGGCTGTTGAAAGGGTCGAGCGTAGGGACACGCTCTGCACTCGACCGCGACGCGAGTCGGTCGTCGCGAGATCGCGGAATAAAGTTAACGATATTGCGAGATGAATCGCAGAGGAGGGGGAGCACATTGAAAGTGCCAATCGCGAGGAGACTCGGCCGAGATGCCGCGTGGCACCGAGACGGCCCGCGAAAGCGCCATCGGCGACGTTCTCCTCGCGGTCGGTCGCCTCGCAGCGTAAAGTACATTAATTCCAGGGTAAAGTTTTGTAAAATCGTCTGGTACGCAATATTTTATGTAAAAAGCAGACACACTCAACAACCAAACACGTTCACACGGAAAACACACTTTGAGCATGACGTGAAGAGAGAGCGAGAGAGAGAGAGAGAGAGAGAGAGAGAGAGAGCGCGCGAGAGAGAGAATGAGCGAGTGTGAATGAGAGCTAAAAGAGAAGACACTTTCGTGATGATCGTACTACCGGAGAATGAGAGACGAAATAAAACACCTGCTGTAGGCCGGCGATACGTAACATACGTATACGTATGCGTATATATACATACTTGTATACAACATACAATTACACCGTAAGTATATATATATAAATATATAAGAGATACTTATACTTTATATAGCTGCATTCGTCGTGTCATTACGTATACAGGGCTTGCGAGCGTTGACAGGTGATTTGTCTCGGCTAGTGTGTTAAGGACCGCATGGAGCGAGAGAGAGAGAGAGCGAGAGCGAGAGAAAGGGAGAAAAAGAAAGGGAACGGAGAATGAGAGGGTGTGTGTGCGCGTGCGAGGAGAGAGGAAGCTATATCTCTTATAGTCAGCGTTACATATCTTCGACTCGTTGTTTGCGAAGCGTCACATCGTTCAAAATCGTTGCAAAATATACCGACGTCAGTAAAGTATTGACACGTGGCAGGAACGAAAAGCGCTAATGGTAGTGTGGGAGGCCTGTGTAGCCCGACTGTCTCGTCCGTCGCACGTTTAACGCTAGGCGCGGCTGTCACCCTATCGCGTTTGATAAAAAAAAAGAAAAAAGAAAAAAAAAGATCTCTCCCTCACGGTGATCCTGAAGAAGGTAGCTACGATTTACACAGAGCTCGCCTACGGACCAGTTGCAGCGATGTTAATGGTAAAACAATATATACATTACGTTCTCCCTGCCTATTTTACAAATAAGGCTACGATATAGAAAGGACCACGTGATAAGGATTTAATTAAGAATATAATACGACGTCGTTGTTGCAACGCGGGTCCCGAATGGCATCGACCACTGACGTATCGGTACGGCTACTTTCTAGCGCAGCGAACATTCTGGATCCCCTCGGACAGCCGCGCTTAACGTAGATCCCAGGCGCGGGGAGAGACTCGGGCGAATAGACTCGTAGGGAAGAACACATAGACGACCCTCGCCCAACCTACATATCAGAGTTTAGTTAACGCCAGGAGTCTTCCTGAAAAGAAACGAAAATCCAGAATTCTCTTATCCCGATCCTCCCGCAGATCGAGGTCGGGGGAAAAAAACTTGCACGGTACTAGAGCACGAGTGAGGAACATCGTTGATCGGGGGGCGCTCTCCGCCCCTAGAGTATAGCCCGAGGATTCTGGGAAACTAGCTTTCGGATCCCCTCGACCCTTTACCCTCGCAATTCTCAACCCGGGACTAACCCCCCCACCCCACCCCCCTTCATCTTCTCATCCTCTATTCTCCCTCCCCCTCCCTCACTCCGAACCTCCCCGACTTCCTCCCGGTGCATCCTAGGTTTAGAAAATATATTTGTATTGTCAGTTATCACACACTACTAACACTAATACTTACTACTACGATCTATAACTATAATGATTCTTATTATTATTAATACTGCTACTGTATCACACCTCTCCATAGGTCGCATAAATACGACATGCCCTGTTGTTGTTGTTGGATTGATTATCGATCACGCGCGCGGAACGAGTAACGCGAAGAAATAAAAAGAGAGAAAGAGAGAGAGAGAGAGAGAGAGAGAGAGAGCGAAAGAGAGAGAGAAAAATGAGATGAATTCTTATTCGAAAGGTGATCGTTGACTGCGTGAGTGTTTCGCTTTGTGTTTCTAGGTTTCTCAGTTTCTTACAGATCACACACAATTATTGTAAAGTAGAGCTTACCTACACTTGACGGCTTATTATTACTTCCACACACTGTTGCATCGTTGTCACTTTCGGCGCTCGGTTACACGCACTGAGAGAAAAAAAAGTTTTAATTACGCTGAAGTTGCCTTAATTAATTAAGATAACGATAATTTCCTGCAATTAGTTCGGATGTGAGAGCATTCTGCTGTAGAAGAGTGACAATCGTGCTCGTTATTAATGTCGATTGTTCTCGTATATGCAAAATATTTAATATATAAACTATTAGCTGTGCCAAGTAGTGTTTTTGTAAAAAAGAAAAGAAATAAAGATTATTGCTGCAAAATGAAAGTATAATCCATTTTAATAAATTCACCTGTCGGAAGTGTCGCCGTGGCAAAAAGAGAGAGAGAAAAAAAAGGACGCGGATCGGTAACCGGTTAATTCGTAGAAGATAGCAATTTGCCTTAATGCAGTATGCATGTACCTTTCTTTTTAATATCGCGGTTTGATCTGTACGCGCGATTGAAAGTGCAATCGACTTGCGATTTTCTCTCAGTGAGACTCTTCGTGGAGGAGCGTATAGATTTAAAGAACGTGGCGTATGCGCGCAGCGAAAATCTCGCGAAATATATAGTAATACGCGATCGGAGAGACGTCAGAAGGAGTACGCTATCACCGTCATTGTTAAGGATAGTTGTGATAATTCATTTCCTCAACTCTATTTTTCGACGATCGCCCATCGTCGGGATACGTGTTCAAGGCGTTCAAGCATATTTTCCGTCGTATATCACGAATTTCTTACATACAGTCGTTGACTTTTGTACAGGTTCATACAATTCTCCACTTATTTATTTGCGAAAACGATGACGATGTCCACTCACGTCACTTTCTATTATGTATGAGTTATTTGCTCGGGAGAGAGATGCACTGTAATTCACATATATTCTAAGGTGTTTGAAAAAAAAGAGCGTAAAGGCACGAAACGTACTGTTATGAATTTGATAAAGACGTCACTTTAAACGAAACTAATAAGACTCTGAGGGACCATCAAATTGAATCTATCCACGTGTAAAAATATGCATGCACATTAAGAGACGATCCAAGATTTTTTTATTGTCCTATTCTATCTTCTGTCTATTTTATTCTTCTAAAATGTTAGAAAATGTCAGCTATATTCGTATTTGCATATCACACGTAGTATTAAATACGGTCGTTCGATTATGAATTTTATTTATTGCGCATGGAAGTTAAGAATCTGCGTGTCATTAAAGTGTTAGAATGAAGACCGTTTGGCGGCATGTAGCGTTTAAGTGTGGATCACATGTACAAGTTTCTTTTTAACTTTAATAGAGATCATACGTAAACTCATTATCATTGTACATTTCAGTCTTATTTTACGCTTCCTTTTCAAGCACCCTAGAACAAAATCGCCCTCGAACGATACGGGAGAAATTAATGAACATAATTAAGCGGAAACCTAATGGTCAAGGTTCTGATTCTGCCGCATTATTCGAGGGTCGATCTCGTAAGTGATTCTTGTAATTTATTACGCGCGAGCGACCCAAGTCAACTGTTAAGATACAAACGTGAGATTTGGCAAGCTCTATTTTCTGGTCGCGCCATTCAATAGAGATGCAATAAACCGAAAGAGTAACAACGGAGAGGAGAGAGAGAGAGAGAGAGAGAGAGAGAGAGAGAGAGAGAGAGAGAGAGAGAGAGAGAGAGAGAAATATACATACAAATGTGATATCTTTTAAATACTTTTGAATTGACTTTTCTGGAAAGAGAGATAAATCTCTCTTACAGTATGTAAAAATATTCCACATCTTCGACATGTATAAAATACACTAGATTACTTATTTAATTACTTTACTTATTATTACGCTCATACGAAAGACGCTCATCTAAAGCAGATTTTATTCAAAGCTCTATTTTGTGATTCTCATATGATCTTGTATCGGATATTTTTTTAGCGGTCAGAGATACAGAGCGAACGCGAGAATAAGAAAGAGTTTGAAAGAGAGGGAGAGAATGAGCGAGATTGGGAGAGAAGTCGCAGATGTACCGCTCGTATAGAGACTCGAGGAGAATCCGTGATTGCCAAATCGTTAGGTGACTCACAATTTGGAAGAAGAGCAATTGTATGATTAGCGTGTGTCGAATGAAGGAAGATAAATGACCTTCTTCGCAAGTTGCTTCTTCGTTTACGTCTCGTCACTAAAATGCAAAGATCGAAAAGGGTGTACCGTACCGCCTCTAAAGTATACTCGCCATGTAGCGATTTGGCAGTTCCTATTCCCCTTAACGTTCGTAAGGGCAATAAAACAATGTACATTTTTCGAGTACACTTGTATTTGAATGTGCGAGTTGCATAAAAAGACAGATTTTTTAGGTAACGCACTGTCATATTTATTATTCTACGATAAACGATCGATTGGCACGCGGGTCGACCGCGCTCTCGAGACAGCGACATTCGCGCTAATGCGCTATTGTGTAGCGAACAAGGGTAACGTTTACCAATTTTCCTTTTCTTTTCTGAAGATTTACAACGGCGCGCGGGTGCGGTCGATCGAGCGCCATTATGCGAATTGATATTATTAATAATAAACAAAAAAAGAAGGCAAACCGTACGCATTGTTCTTTCCGGTAAGAAAAGAAGCAAGGTTTTCGGTGTTTTCACTACGATTGATAAACGATTCTATTATTGCATATAATATTATATTAATAACGATATTATTGCTGTAATGTTTGTTTTTGGTTATTAAAGTGTGTATATAGCAATATATTCTAGAAACAGCCGCTCGTACGTTTTTCACCCTCTGAATTAAGACACCTTGTGCAACCTCATATTCTTTAATTTTTCATACTTTACAGAGCCATTGCCTTCTTAATAAGGTAATTTTTATTTTATTATTCTGATGTTACATGAAATTAAGAAGAGATAGTTCGTTTTGTCATTAAGAGGAACCTATTTAAATTAATTTAATGTCTACATTATCGTGTATATATCTTTTATTATATATATATATATATATACTTTACAAAATTATGTCTCTTACGTTATTCAAATGTCTCTCACATTAAATGTCTCTCACATTAAAAAAAAGAGATAGAAAAATTATAAATCTCTGAATCGTCTTTCAGCAGTGTTAACGTAACTAGTTGACATCGCATCTAGCTATTTTTTTACAGTCCTTTTCGGTTTGTATTTTTCTCGCACGCCGTCATTGAAGCCTTCTCTATTTCTCGCGAGCTCTATAGCGTAAAATTGTATCCTAGTCGTCAGTATGCTGTTCTGCTCCGAATAATCTCCGGTGCAATCTGCTCTCAACAATGTACCAAAACTATAGTCCTCCACAACGTCCTTGAACTGTTCACAGAAAAACCTCCACTTTATTTTCCCCTCTGGAGATTTCAACTCGTCCTCGTCCACTTTGTCCACTTTCATAGTGGGAAAGGTATCCTTGAAAGTCTTGTAGATCTGCTCGTCGTGAGGTGTGAGTTTCAAAAGTTTTGGGTCAACCGAACACAAAATCTAAAAGACCACATTTCTATCATTTATACTTTATGTCATAGTTTCTAGATACATACACAATATGTAATACTATATAACTTACGTTAAAATAAACCTCTGCATGTTCCATTGCTTTCATTGCCCACATTGCCTCCAAAGACGGCTAAAACGGAAATGCATTAAAGCAAAAGAAATATATTTCTTTAAGTAAATCGACGTAAAAAATGTCTTCCTGCAATATACAACAGATATTACTCGCATATTGTACTTACGTCATTTTCAAATTCTTCAGCGGGTCTCGACAGCACGCTGGTGCCAGCAATTAATTGATCCGCCGTCTTAAATGTACAATTCATAAACAAGAGCCTTTCACGGATTAGCTTACAAGTTTATCAGACAAAACGGAGATGCAACGAGAGAATTCGTCTAATAAATATTATTTTAAATAATATGCTTAATAATTATTATTTACTATATGACCGATCAAATCTCAATCGAGTAAGACCGCCAATTTAAATAATTGTCAATTATTCAACAATTTTTATAATCGCCCGTGTTGTCATCGTAGCAGGCATGATCGTCTAGGTTATAAAACTATCGTCGTGAAAGTTTGCACGTAGGGAGAGTAATTCACTTACCACATTTCCTACTTGCGCCATTATGTGTATTCGCAGCTCTTGAATAAAAGTAATTTACACAATATCATACGTTTTTGTACAGACGTTACAAACGCCGCTCACGAATCACGCGTGATTGAATAACACTCGGTTGCTAGCGCTAGCATACGTCTGTTCTTTTTAGCACTGCGTATTGCACTACGTTACACTTTTTACACTCAAAGTGAGAAGGATAACTATGGCCGGTATTTATGTTACTTAAATATATTCAATCGTTTGTATTTTGCATGAAGACAATTAATTAATTATTTTTCCATCTGGCATTTAGCCGGAATAGATACACAGAACAAAGTTCTTATAGGAAATCGTTTGTATTTTGTACGAAGAGTTATATGAAGTCGAATCGAGACGAGTTGAAATCTCCATGCAGAGGGGAAAATAAAGTGGAGGTTCCTCTGTGAACAGTTTAAGAACTGTTGTGAAGGACTACAGTTTTGGTACATTATTGAGAGCAGATTGCACCGGAGATTATTCGGAGCAGAATCTTCTCAGTTCTCAATTTTATTTGTCCTATTTATAATATTTAGAAATCCATTTCCACCCACTATCTAAACAATTAAAGGCTGGTTTATGCAAGGCCGTAACCGTTAACTTATGCCGGAATCGGTAAAAATTAACCAATTGCAGTCAATTATTCTCTTCACTTTTAACGGTGATTGGGCAATTTTTACCGATTCCGGCATAAGTTAACGGTTACGGCCTTGCATAAACCAGCCTTAACTCGTCTTACGTTTCCGAATCTCTACAATTTAATGTAAAAATTTGTACAAAATCGAATTGTAACATGAAGGCATGTGTCTGTGTACTCGAAGAGAGGAAACGTATACACGATGTTTCGCTCTCTTCTCCCTCAGGGTCTACATTGCCGTAATATACGTATTATGACTTTCACCATGCGCTCACCGCGCCGAAACAATTAGAGCAGCGGGAGAAAACTCTCGCGCAACGAAGGTCTCGCATTCCTTTCGCAACATAAGGATTTATAATAATTATTATTTACATACAGCATCCGAAGTTAATTACGCTTTCGAGAACATAAAAGTAATTTATCTTGAGTCCTATTAAATTTCAGTCTACCGAGCATTCCGGTGCACGCTCGAGTTTCTCAAGTCGAAAGGTATTTCACAATATGCGCGAAAATCTCTCGGAACATGCTCGAAACAATTTAACGTGCTTACGTCCATTTTTTAGTACTTCTTGCGAAGATAAATGCCTCGACATTTTTTTTAATTCATGATTTCATTCCCATTTTCCTATTTTGCTCGGGTTCTCGAAAAAATCTTTACATCGCGAGCCATGTTATCCACGATATTGCGCGAAATAATAAAAATGTTGCCGCTCTCCGCCACTAGACTGTCACAAGAAGCGATTATCGATTAGATAACGATATTCGGGACGGAGAAACACGCCGCTGTCGTCGACGAATGGCTGTCAGAAAGAGCCTGCTCGCGTTCTGGCAGACTCGAACGAGGAACCACCTTCTCCGGTAAAAACCGCACACGGCAATCGATATAACGCGATTGCGCCTTTACAAAAGAATCTTTTGCAGCCGCGCGAAGCCGTTCCCCTCTGCGCACGACACGAAAAGTTTCGCACGCACGTAAGTACGCACATATCATTTTCGTTGTGTCATTCCGCGGCAATAAAAAGAAAAGCGTCCCGATCGATCACACCGTTACGAACACCGCCGGTGTCGGTTCAATTGAACGAGCCGGCGACGGTGGTCGAAAAAGAATTCTTTGGAAATGTCAGAGGGAAGCGCGTCGGTCTCTCCCTCCGGAAAAAACAACGCTTCTCTCGCCTCGATTTTCTCCCCGAAAGACGGGAGAATCCAGACGACTGGAGCCAAAGGCTGCGGAGCGCGCGACGAGCGAGCACCTTCACGTTCTCCTCCTACGACGATCCAACGGCGCGGCGATCCACTAGTCACGCTCGTGTTCCGCTCGTGATCGAAGGCAGTGTCGATTTCACCGCCGTGTGCAACCGAAGCTGGGCGGCGGCTCGCGTTTCTTCCCTGAAAAAAAAAATCTCGCGTCCCTTATCAGGCCCGCCGATTCGGCGAATGCCCGGCACAATACGGTCGCGCGTATGCCACTTGCACACCTCTAGCGCAGCGAGTGATGAGTTGTTCGCGGTATCGATACGAGATCCGGACAGACGTCGCCTAGCGAATCACCCAGCCAAGTCGCTCGCTCAGTGTCTCTCGATCGATTCGCAACGACGATGGGCAACGGACACTTCAAAGACAACAACGCGCAACGAAACGGCAGGATGTAAGTGCTCTTGTCCGTTTGTACTTACCTTGAATCGCGGCTAGTAGCTTGATCTCACTTGGCGGTAAATTACTTGTAGCGAATTCGCTTGCTTGAACTATGTAGTGCGCGCCCGGTGCGCACGAGGGCTCGTTTACAGTCAGTTCTTATATTTAAGGATCGTCTTAAATACCTCTTGAAATACTGTTTGGCCAGTAAAGTGATCTACGTAGCAACCGTACGATTATTTCTTTTGCTAGATGTATTTCCTGAACATGTATTTGAGACGACCTTAAATATAAGACTTGACGGTGAACAAGCCTTGGTGCACTCAGTGCGCACTAGCGCAAGCGATCGGATTCGCTGCTAGAATAAGTGTGTGCTGTCAAAGCAATAGCATAGCTATTTAAGTAAGCACTTTTGCGAAGCGTTGTAAACGATATAACGCAGAATGACACTTTAGATGTTGATTTAACTCGTGAACATATGTTATGTAACTTGCCGCGCGGATAACAAATACTTGATCTTTTCTTTAACACTTTAAATCCTCGATCTTGCTAATAAATTAGTGTCCGAGTGATTCAAGGAGATCGCGTCATCTAGGGCTAGTTTCAAACGTCGGTTAACTGCTAACCAAAGGTTACTTGACTCTCTGTCTCTTCCTAAATAATATATTGTAAATAATATGTTTATCACAAGTTTATAAGAAGTTTGTTTAAATGTCGAGTCAATGTTTGATTGGAATTTTAAGACGTTTATTGAATTGCTTGCAATGTGAGATATAAAATTATCTCAAGCATGGAGCTGTTTGTGGCGTGTTCGCGGTTACACGTGTTAAAATCAATGAATACAATGTCAAACGTTTCCATTACAGTTTTCTAAGTATTTGTAAAATGTTATTGTCGGTAAAGAATTAACCAGGTGTGTTTGCAACGTACTTCCAAACGGTGTCAATAGAAGTCTTCATAAACAATGTAACTATCGATAAGACTCTTCGTAAATAAATATAAGCGTCATCTCTCGCTTAAAATTTTCACCAGGGAAGACGGAAAAAGGATAGGGCACCGATTTGGTTAACGGTTAAGGGCCAATTTCACAAACGTCGGTTAACTGTTAACCAGAGTTCAGTCAACTCCCTATCTTTTTCTCTAAGAAGAGACGGAGGATCAATTAATCTTCGGTTAGCAGTTAACCGACGTTTGTGAAACTGGGCCTAACTGACTTTCGTGAAGCTGGCCCTTAAGGGAAACATCTTCTTCTTCTTCTACCCCTTAAATTAGGCTTCAGCCTGTTTTTTCCGAATAATTCGTCGTGTGTGTGAAGCTGGCATATCATTTCGTGGAAAATCACTAATTTTTTAGAGTTCTGACTTCCTTTCTAATAGTTCTAGAGTTCCTGATACATTGAACACATAGTTCTGGCTTTTAATTCGTCTCTTGCGATCCAGCTGTCCATCCATCTCTTTGGGGGTCTTCCTGGGGGTCTTCTGGGGTCTTTCCCATCTATTGCTGTTCTTGCTATTATCTCTTCCCTCATTCTGGATACGCGATCGTCCCATTCACGTCTTCTCTGTCTCACCTACTAGGGGAAACGTGTTCAGTGAAAAATTATATTGCGTCGGGAATGCACGCGACTCAACTTCACCTTGCCTCGTAGTGGTAAAAGTATGTCCCATCCTTTAATTTTCCCCCATCGGTACTTGGCGTATTTCGCAACGAAAAGTTTCGCACGACTTAATACCGTGGCCGAATGTCGCATTGGCTAGAGATATCCGCGTGAGTCGCGCGATCCACGCCGGTCGCTGAAAGAGTTAAAGGCCATCGCGGTAATTAGCGGTCGCGTTATCGCGCCTCATCGGGCCGCGTACCGTTTGCCCACGCTGATATAAGCTTTGCGCGAGGATAAGCGGCTCGCGGCGGACCGCGAGACGTACGCACGGTGTCTTCCGCCCTCCAGTTTCGCGATTCGGCCCCGAGGGGGAAAGTGAATTCCGGCAAACGCCAGTATGTACGAGATGCATATTTTCCCCCCGGATGCGTACAGGCGAGATAAGACAATCGCGAGACGTTTAGTCTACGCAAAGCATGCCTGCGACGAAGCAGCTCCTGACGCCGCTCGGCTGCCACTTGACGGGTTTTCTCCGTCAGTCGAGCGGCCTGCGTTACGCTACCTGCGACCTTGAACCCGAGATCTGCCGCCAGCCTCACCTGTCCGATCACAGGTAACGTCGACGCGGATTCCAAATTGAATCTGCCCGAGAGAAACGCGCAGAACCCGGCCTTCATTTCTCCTTCCGCGTTCTGTTCTTCGTTTAATGTCGTTCTTGCTTCACGTCAGGAATAATCTCGGCGGTTTTCCTCATTACGCAATTTGGACGCGCGCGAATTACCGTGACGTTCAGCAACAGTTTCACCAGCTATGTGCGAGTAAATTAGTTTTTGTTGCCGCATGAAGGAAAAGAGCGCGCGCGCTCTATTCTATTCTATTCTAATCTATTTCTTCTATTCCCATTCCCTCTATTCGATTCTAATCTACTTCCTCTCCCCCCTCCATCTCTCTGTCTATTTATCTATCCATCTCCTGCCCTCTTTCTAACCTTCATGGTCAATTTTTTAATAATCTTTTGGTAGGAAAAGAACGCGCGCGCGCTCTCTTCTATTCTCTTCTATTTCCTCTATGCCTATTCCCTCCATTCCCTCTATTCGATTCTAATCTACTCCCCCTCCCCCCTTCCATCTCTCTGTCTGTCTATTTATCTATCCATCTCCTGCCCTCCTTTTAATTTTCATGGTCAACGTTTCAATAATCTTTTAACGATTAATATCACTCGTTATTTTAATTCCTTAATTATTTACTTTCGTAACGTCGCAGCCACCCATATACTTCGCGTATATATCACACGGGAATGTAATGCACAGTCACGACGATTGGACGTAGGTATGTACACTTTAAACTTTGATCCAGTCAGGGCGGAAGAGAGAGAGAGAGAGAGAGAGAGAGAAAGAGAGAGAGAGAGAGAGAGAGAGAGAGAGAGAGAGAGAGAGAGAGAGAGAGAGCGCGCGCGCGCGCGCGCAGGAACGTCATCGATCTACATCGCTCGGACTCTGTCGAACTTTGTTCCCGTGTCACGATAACGATTTTCTAAAATTCTAAATATCGACGTCTGGCAATCGTTTGCATGTTTTCCTCGCGATGAATCAAACATGACATTTGTAATTCCGCAAATGCCCAGCGCGCGACCGCGCGATAAATGCGCGTGCGCCAGACCGTGCCTCCTCGCAGGTGCGTGCTCGCCAAGATTCGCACCCCTCGAGCGACACCCGAATGGCGCACACATCGAATGCGCTTCGATATAAATAACAGTTTTCGAATATTCCGCCGAAAGCTCGTTAAAATATTCACATTTCAATCGCGCTTGTTAGGCGTGTTTCCGAAACGTAAAGTGTGTATTATGTTACATATTATATTACATAATACAATACGACGTAACCCAAGTATAAACTTAGCGAATACCGCGCGCGCGCGAGACCGACCTTTCTTTACGCGAGCACGCGAATTAATACGGCGTAATATTTTACACTGGCAAGATGCGTTCGACGTTGATTATATTCGTATGCAAATTGTGCATTATGTCACACAATATTACGCGATGCAAAGCGCTAATCAGAATACAACTTTATTGTTGAAACAAAAGGAATATATTGAAAGTATAAACAAATTGCACTCATGTGCGTATAATCACGATATGAAAAGATAAGTAACAGTAGCTCGTATGATAAAAAATCGAACAAAAAAAGGTCAGGATGCCCTTCGACGTTATTATATCCATATGCAAATTGTGCATTATATCACACGATATTACGCGATACAAAGCGCTAATCAGAGTACAATTTTATTGCCGAAACAAAAGAGATGTATTAAAAATATAAACAAATTGCACTCATGTGCGTACAATCACGATATAAAAAAAAACATTGGCTGGTATGATAAAAAATCGAACAAAAGGAGCTGTAGTGTAAAAAAACGATATAAAAACTCACAACTCCACATTTGGTCACTTGACATGCGAAGTTTTCATCGCGATGTATGGAATAAGCTGTAACATTTATAAAAAAAACGGGTTAAAATCGGTCGTTACTCCGTTTTCTTGGTTTCAATAATAGCATTTACAGGAAGACGTGTTTTAGATAGGGAGAGACATTGTTCTAGATACTAGAGAGCGTTAAAAACAATCGCCGTTGTCCGAAGCCATAGACTTATAAGTCTGTGTCCGAAACGCTGTGACTATTGTTGACGCGACGGATGCAACGAACAAAAGACGCGCCTAAGGTTTAAGGATCAATGACTGAAGGTCGCTGCCTTCGGCCGCAGGCACGGCGGCGTGTGCTGATTATTCTACCCCTTTGATTTCGCCGGCGCGCACGTCATGTCACGTCACCTACCGCGTTCCCTGTCCTACCACCTTGCGTTTGCGCGCGGCCCGCTCAGACAAGTGGCATTCGTTCGCAGGACCCAGAGCAGTTGCCAGCCCGACTGTAGGAAGAGCAAAGCGTCAACGATGTCGAGCTTGGAGCGCGATCAGCTGGGCCAGCGAGGTAGCGGCGACGCGGCCTGCGCCGGCCTTCTGCGTGGCCTCGACCACATCAGGGACCCGCAGCTGAACAAGGTAGGCTGTTGCGCATCGCGCAGGAAGACGCGTCGCGCTTGCCACTTCGCGAGCGCGAAGATAATCGCCGACAGACGCGGCTGTACGCAACGCCGTCGCGGTTCCGCATAGCTCAGGCTTGACTCATTGTCGGCACGGCGTGCGCGGAAATCGATTCGCGAAAAGAACGATACGGCGTGGTGTCACGCGGGGAAAAGGAGCGGGCGAACTTTTTCGAGCACGCGCTTAACTTCGAGACAACCTTCCGCCGCTCTCGTTATCGCTCGCGGCTGGATACATGCATTTCCATTTTGAGCGGCGAAATGTACGCCGTTGTCGTCGATGTAGGGCTTGCCGCGAGATAACGACACATCGGTCGATCGTGTCAAATTATCTGGAGCAACAAGACTTGGTGGAGAACGCTTTCACCAGACGCTTTAGGGCCGCTCTTTCCAACGTCCGTTAACTTCGCAGAGTCGCCAATGGAAATTGAAAGTTAACGGCCGACTAGAATTAACGGACGTCGGAAATAGCGGGCCTTAAACCAGTTTGGGCAAACGTACGTTCGACTTGATACCCGAAATCGTACCGTCACTGTGAAGAATAAGGAAAGCGAAGATATTACCAGCCGTTGATGACGTTATAATTTGACACTGCAAGATTATATCGGATCGAAGTGGATATTAATAACCGATGAGCAATCGCCAATGATCGATTCACTGATCTGATAATTTACAGCGGATAAGAGTGCGTTCGCGAAGCGAAATCTTAGACTTTGCTGCGTTCAGCAGTCGCGCACGACAAGTCGGATTGCAGCTCGAAAGCAGAATGCAGGATGACTACGCGAAACACCTCGCGGTAATTGCCCTCCACGCTTGCGCAATCTCGAAACGCGATACAGTCAAGTGTCCTATTCAGAGATTGACACGGCCCTGAAGTTTCGAAATCCCGTTTCCGAATTCCTTTGAGGCTGCCCGGTTATCATTGAGTTTCAGTTCCCTACGAATGCACCGCGAGATAAAGAAAGCGGAATCTTTTCAGTCCCTTTCAACGCCGACTCTTGCTTACCTCGACATAAGAAATCCCTATTCACTTTTAAATCCAGAGGACCATCCAATGGCATCGAAAGTAGTTTTAGCTGTATCTTGCGGATTATAAAAAGTGCCGTTTACATTTTTCGCGACTCGTGAGGCGAGCGGGATTCAGGGTTGGTTCCGATCAATCGAGATTCTCCTGCGAGGAACTCGCGCGCATAAACGTTTTAAGGGACATCGAACCATTGTCCCTTTTCTCTCAGCAAAGCACCCTTGTGCCTGGCAAAATTATTCGCGAACGTTTCGCGACACCCGTCGTCACGTTTTGCTAAGCAACGGGTACGCGTGATACTTGCGGTAGGTCACGGAGTCACTTTATATTCAAGAATTCAAGAATAGGGCTGCCCCTATCGATCCGTGCACGGGCCGTAGGGTCGCCGTCACGGGAGTCAAGAACCCCAGCAACCGTTTCCACGGTCGGTTGTTTGTCATGGGATGCGAAAATCCCGGGGGAAAGTTTGGATAGTGATAGTGCGTCGAGATAATGGAGACCGATTGGTGGAACCTCGTCCCGGATCAGAATCGAACTACGTGCATCCCCGAGGCACTGCTCGCTCTGGATGGAAGGGTATTCGTTCTCGCTTCCGCGTCATTTCGCGATCTTACGTTCGGACTAAAACCCCGGGCTTTCTCTTTCGCGAGTTTCGCCGAAATCCCAACTTTCTTTCGCCGGGATAATCGAACTTAACTTTCCCTTTAATCGCCTTGTCGCTCGAAAATATATTTATGTGTTGTGCGTAATTCGCGAGGCTATGCTTTATTGTCCATTAAGGCAAAACTCCGCGTTTTAATTTCGCCCACACAGCGAAATATATCGGAGACTTGAATCAGGTATCAGTTCACCGGTCATATTTGAGATATCTCGTAGATGATATATTCTGAATATTTGTAGGATATCACATTTTTAATATCGCTTCTTCTGACGTCTCGTTTAAAGAATTATCGTTTATATTTTTATTTTCAATAGTTGTCTTGTTTCTAAATAATTGTTTACTATTTGAAATGATTATTTCCTCAAAACAAGTTTTCCAAACTTACGTAGACAAAACAGAAATAGCGCAACTAAAAATAAAAAGAAGATAAATACGAGTTTGCAATAATAGTATAAAAAAAAGTAAAGGCTGCTTTATGGAGGCCGTGTTCCCTAATAATTTATGCCGGGACTGATTATAAAGAAAGAAATATATTTTATTTATCACCTATTGCCTATTCTGCGATATGTAAAATCCGATCTTACTGAAATATAGATTTCGAATATTTGATATAAATTCAGATATATTTCCGATGAAATAATCATGACTTTTTAGAATGTGGAAGGCAACTCTTAGATCTCCAAGCGATATCTGAATAGTTTTTTTTGTATCAGATACTGTAACAATTAGATATCTCCGAGATATCGTTGTGACATTTTTGCTGTGTGGGCAATGATTACATAGTCGATTCGACCAAAGTCGATCAATTTTAACTAGTTGACTTATCTTATTCTTTTTATCTTCTTCTAGATCTATAATTTACGATTCAATATGTCTTGATATTAAATATTGATTAAATGTAAATTAATATTGATAATTGTCTATATTAGTGCTAGTCGTTAAGAAATATTTTTATATCTTATTAATATGCTGTTGCGATAAGCAACAAAGTTACAAATAATTGTATAAGAAAGTTACATATAATTGCAAATTAAGCACTATGAAGAAAATGCACGATTTTTATCGTATATTGTGTAATATAATCGGTATACGTGTAGAGAGGGTCGTGTGGAAACAACAATTAGCTTGAATTTAGCAACTGTGAAATTCTGTAAGTAAACGCACTTCCACAGCCTAACGACCTTGTCAGTATTATCAACTTACTCATAGCTAGATATAAACATACCACAAAGATTAAACACTAAAGAAACAATCTGTGATATTTTTTCCGTGATACTAACATTGAATAACATAAACATTTCAAGTGTATTAAAGAAACTTTACTTTGTAAAAATATTTTATTATTAATTTATTATAAATGTTAAGAAATTATTAATTTATTTATAAAATTTTAGGAATTATGGATAACAATTTTATATTACCAGATTTATGTTCTAAATGAAATCAAACCGTGCTAATCCCATTTCTCTTTCATATCCAATCTCAAAATTAAAAACAACAGAATGAAGAATCTTATTTTTGAATAGGAATATTCATTGCTACAACTTTGGATAGAGTTGGTCATCGCTTTATTGCGCATTAAAAGGCAGAAACGAGCCCACCCAATGGAAAAATACTCTTCACACGCACAGGCCTCTCTATTTAGCAATAGATTCAATTGCAATTCGATGTCAACGTCGTTTCTTTCGAAATAAAGTCCTCTTTCAAAAGCTGATAAAATTACTACAATGGTTTTACTTCAGGAACTGAATAAACGACAAAACTTGGCTTGAGAATAATAGAAAAGGCACACATCTTTCGTCGAATTATAGTTATTAAATGTTTTTACGTAATAGCATGACTACGTCTTATCATCAGGAGACATCTTACATAAGAACGAATATAAAAGCGATAGATACGTTATCATGCAACATTTACATACCACGACGATACAAAATGACAACGCATTGTAATCGAAAACCAATAAGGAAACATTTGGCCGCACAAAAAGTCACAATACTTGTTTTTAACGAGAAACATTTCCGAGACGCGAAAATACGTTATTGCGAGCACCACGCAATTCTCATTTATTTGTTCTCCCTGTATTTCTTGTGTGCCTGGAAAGAATTTTAATAAGAACTTTGTATGTACAGAATTGATCATTGAATTCTATTTTTAAAGTCTTCACTAAAAAGACCATCGATTAAAGAGAGATAAGTGAAAAGAAGATCGAATATCTTATATCGTTTAATAACGCTGTTGCAAACTGTATGGAGAAAGAGTAAAAGACGTAAAGTGACCTAGCCAGAGAAAATACCGCGGACAGTTTGATTATAATTAACACCAGACCGGTTGTCACTATCACTTTGCGGGAACAATGTATTCACACTTTTCCGGTGTTTGAAGGTAAATGAAATCATTGCAAGGCAATGCGGTTCATCAACCGCAGTCGAGATAAGTCGACGGGATAACAAGTCATCTCGTAAATTATGTCGCTCCCACAATGTTGACGTTTTATTAATTAGAGACATCCATTACGTTATCGCGCGATTCCGCGGTAGAATTTCTTCCGTTAGGAAATTATCGCAGCAAGAGAAGGAGAAAATTATTGTAGCATATCATTCTTTTCGAAGACTTTTAACTTTACAGTTATCAGTCAAAATTCTTTCATTATTTTTTGAAATTAGCGTAATTACAATTGTTATCTTGTAATTACTTTTGTAATTACTTTTGTAATTACTTTCTACTAATGGCGAGTTTGCATGCTTTCAACGTACGAGCGAACGAAGTGCGGGTTTTCGTTAAAATTTAATGATCGAATAATCGTATAATGCGTCGACAGTAACCCGTTAATCAACCGATAGTTCAAGGATTGTCTGGCACGGTCTAGCACTCGCTTTAAAAAAGCATTGGCAGAGTGTCCCTACAAGATGCAATTACATCATTATACCAGCGGCATGTTATATCTATAATCCGAACGCGCGAATACGAAGGGTGTTCTATTTTAAAATTACGCGATTATCTCCGAAAGTGCTATAAGATATTCAGGGTTGGGAAGTAAAGGCCATTCTACAATTGCGTAAACGTGGTTGTTATCGGTTGTACAGTGTTGTAAAACACAGTTTTAAACTAGCATTTCCGATTGTAAAGCCTGTTGTAAAAGATGGCTGAGCTTCATCTTTCACGGCTACAACGATGTAGGACGTAAAAGCTAACTAATCATTCACTTCAATTACGACGTATCTCACTCTATTGTATATTATTTTGATGTACAACACTTACTACTACTTCTACTCCTACCCTACAACTACGTTTACGCAATTGTAGAATGGCCTTAACTCGTTTCTTGTAACGAAGTTACAGTTACAGTTACTTTTTTTTGTAACTCTAACTTAACTTCATTACTTTCTCTCCACCTGTAACTGTAACTTAACTCAGTTACATTTTTTCGATAACTAGTAACTAATTTAATATACTTTATATATATTTTAAACCTCCACAGATTGCATCAGGCCTTGCATTTACGCATAAACGCCTTTACAATTCAAATATATCAAACCTATCAACGCTTTACAATTCAAATGCAGATTTGATAATTTTATTTTCATTGCAAGAGAGTAACTGCAAAGTAACGATTCGTTACTTTTTGAGTAACTGTAACTGTAACGCGTTTCTTTTCAGAATTGGTAACTTGCAACTGTAACTAGTTACATTTTTAGCGAAGAAACTGTAACTGTACCTAGACACTTTTACAAAGCTACTTTCCCAACCCTGAAGATATTTCGGATTGAATTCGTCCGAGGGAACGAATTAGATATTTAAAACGCCCCTGAAATATAGCGTCTTGTCTTGTCGATTTGACATCGTTTAAACAATGCGATCAAGTTTTTTCTTGATCGCCAGAGATCACTCGTTTTTGTCTGACGTCATCCACACAATCCTTCAATTAGGCACAACTGCCGCGGGCATTATCCTTGAGAGCGAATGTGGATCATGGAAAATATGTATCCCGCGGGTAAATCCTGGCATATATATTTATTTCTGAATCACGCTCGCCGGGTGTAACGTTCGTGCAGCATTGGCCGACGCGTTGGTAAAAATCAAAGTGGCGTGGCGATCAGCTGATTACCTTTCACCCACGCTTACTAATGAATTGTTGCGCAGTCAGCGTTTACGGCGCGAGTCTTTTTAATCGAAGGTCAGAGTCTAGTGCTCTGATTGACTCATCGATTAATTTTTCCGTATTTGCAATGTCACAAGAGAAAAAGCAGGGAAAGCGACATACAACACTCAACGTTTCCCGTAGAAATAGTCCCGATTATAGACAATTGAAAAACATTTTGAAAAATGAAATAAAATCTTGGAATTGTTGCAATTTTCTCATTTTTTACATTGTTCGATTTTTAAAAGAGATGTTCGGTGAGAGTTTCGATATTACTTTTTAAACGGTGTGTTGAATGGTATGCACTGTCACGTTTCAGGGCATGGCGTTCACCATCGAGGAAAGGCAGATGCTGGGTATACATGGTCTCCTACCGGCAGCCGTGAAAACCCAGGCAGAGCAGTTAGAGCTCTGCCGTCTTAATCTGGAACGCTATACGGACGATCTCTCGAAATACATATATCTCATAGGCCTACTGGTACATGAACACGGTTATCACCGCCGCTTGGTCAGGCCCGCTCCTTTATACACGTTGATTCTCACATAGGGTCTTGTTCCTTAGGATAGAAACGAGAAACTCTTCTACCGTTTGTTGGCAGAAGACGTAGGTAAAATGATGCCGCTGGTGTACACGCCAACCGTGGGTCTGGCATGTCAGAAATTCGGTCTGGTTTATCGTAGGCCGCGCGGCCTCTTCATAAGCATCCACGACAAGGGGCACGTGTACGACGTCTTGAAGAACTGGCCCGAACACGACGTGCGGGCGATCGTCGTCACGGACGGTGAAAGGATATTGGGATTGGGGGATCTGGGTGCTCACGGCATGGGCATTCCCATAGGCAAATTGTCACTGTACACCGCATTAGCTGGTATCAAGCCCCACCAGTGTTTGCCTGTGACTCTGGATGTCGGTACCAATACTCAGGTACATGAAAATGCATTAGATCTGCTGTAAACACCGTTGACTTTCTCGCTAAATCGTGAGCAGAATGGCAGTTTTGTACTCTTAAGACAATGTCTTACGTTTTAAGTCTTTGTTTTAACGTAACGCACAATAACCGTCTTGTGTTTTAAGAGTACAAGGCAGCCGTTCTGTTCAAGTCCGAAGATAGAGGTGTATCTCTTCGTAGATCTCGTGTCGATCTCTTCCCTAATCTTCAATCTATATGTTTGATTTTATATTCTTCTTGCAGTCTTTGCTGGATGATCCTCTGTATATTGGTCATAGGCACAGACGGGTAACCGGGCAAGACTACGACGACTTCGTGGACGAGTTCATGAAGGCTGCCGTGAAGCGATACGGCACGAATACACTGATCCAGTTCGAGGACTTCGGGAATTTTAACGCGTTCAGGCTGCTGCAGAAGTACCGCAACAATTATTGCACCTTCAACGACGATATTCAGGGCACTGCCTCCGTCGCCGTTGCCGGGTTACTGGCATCTCTTCGCGTTACGCAGACGAAGCTCTCGGAAAACACGATCGTGTTTCAGGGTGCCGGAGAGGTTGCTATCAAAACATTTAGTTGATCGTCAACAAAAATGCAATCGAGCTTTAGCCGTTAGATTATACGAACGAGAAGAGTTGATGCAATAATTTCACAAATTATTAACTATTTGCAGGCGTCGCTGGGTATTGCGTCGTTGTGCGTAATGACAATGCAAAAGGAAGGAGCAACCGAGGAGGAAGCCAAGAGCAAAATCTGGATGGTAGACTCGAAAGGATTGATAGTGAAAGATCGGCCAAAGGGCGGACTGACGGAGCATAAATTGAACTTTGCTCGCGAGGGCAATCCGATCGATAGTCTGTTGGATGTTGTCAAGACCGCCAAACCCTCGGTTATCATCGGCGCAGCTGCTATCAGGGGTGCCTTCACCACAGAAATACTGAGGGAAATGGCGCGTAACAATGAGACACCCGTTATCTTCGCTCTGAGCAATCCAACGAGCAAGGCAGAGTGCACCGCTGAAGAGGCGTACATTGCTACAGAGGTAAGAAGCTGATTGTACGTTCATTAAAAAAAAAAAGGAGACTGATTTTTATTGAAATACGAATATCTAACGAGTGTAGTTTAACGGCTTCCAAATAATGAAATCAACTGTCGTTTGAATTGCGCAGGGAAGATGCATATTCGCGAGCGGCTCGCCTTTCCTGCCAGTGACGTACAACAATAAGACTTACAATCCTGGCCAGGGTAATAATAGCTACATATTCCCTGGAATCGCGCTGGCCGCGATATGCGCCGGTATGCGCACAATTCCCGAGGAGACTTTTCTCATTGCCGCGACAGCTCTGTCCGATTTGGTAACGCAAGCCGACTTGGACAGCGGAAATCTTTATCCGCCGTTGGCCGATATACAGAAGTGCTCGCTGAGTATAGCGTGTGCGATCATGAAATATGCATACGACAACTGTGAGTATAAACATTACTGCGAATGCACCGGAGAAGACAGAGAATATACGAGACGTCCCGTGTACTCCGGACATATAATATGAATTATTCATACGTGTTTCTTACGTGCAGGTCTAGCGACTGTCCATCCCGAGCCTACGGATTACGAGAGTTTCATCAAGGCGCAACTGTACGATCCAAGCTACAAGTCGTCCATACCTACAATTTACTCGTGGCCGAAATTATAATACTTCTATTAATTTAACAACGTCCTAATTTCACGCACGATTTATCTCGGGCCTATGGAAAAGAAATATATATAATGTTCGAGGGAATTCTTCGGGAAACAAATTTTCCTCGCTTTTCTAAAGCCTGTTGATCGGGCTTATTTAATTTTACGCACTGCGTATGTGCAAATATGACCAATATACAATTTAAAGTTATGAAAAATTCACAAGAATGAATTTCTTTTTAATGCGAAGGGGCATTATTTGCAAATAAAGTATATAAGCTTACTTAGCAAATAAAGTATATAATAATTGATTTGCTGGTTGAACAAATAAATATTGACGCTGGTTGAAAGAAATGTATTTATTGCTACTTGAAATATCGTTTCCTTTTTTGCAGTAGACATTTCCAGATCATTTGATGAGCAGTAGATATATTCTTTATTTCATAGATGTAGTATACTAAGGTCAAACAAAAGTTACACGGGTGATACAGTTGTGCAAATTAAATATGTCCGTGATAAAAAGAAGTAGAGAGTGCCTTTTTACATAACGTTCAATAATTATTTTCCGTAACACTCGGCATATGTCATCATTTTAATTTGAATTTTTCTAAGACAGTAATACAGAATCAGCAAAAAATTTTCTTCAATTAGGCCAAGAATTTAAAGGCGGTTGGCTAAATCGGCAAGAAGTACATCATGAAGAAGTTGCGCAAGTTCTCTTTTCAGACTCAATAGATCAGAAACGAACGAAAGAAAAGAACCATTGAGAGAATATTTTCTAAGACAATTATGTATTCTTACGTTTCAAGATGTATATAATTCACAACGATGAATTGGTGATCGTTAATCACACATTCCCTTTCGCGCTCGTTTTTCTCGATTCCCGTCGTCTCTATCGACGTGTACGAGTAAAACTATCTTCCACTTTATCACTAGTCTGATACTGCCAGAACACGTTCGCGGTCGTCAATTTAGAACAGATTATAAATTGCGGACCTCGAAAGTGATCTTTACTCCAAACTTGTTTATATCGCACAATAACATGGTAATAAATTTAAGGGACAAAAATGTACAGAAGAGCATTTAAAAAATTGTTTACAATTGTGGGACTCTGTTACGCTACACTGAGCAGACACACTGGCGACACTTTGCGCGCCAGTAACAGGGACCTCGTCGCTGCCTCATGATCGACAATTGCGATGAAAACTCAGACGCAGACCACTGATCTTATCAGATGATAAATGTCAGAAATCTAATCGCTCGTCATAGAATATATTCGAATTAGTCCAAATTCCACGGCACCACCGCACTACTGCTTTTTCTACGTGTAATTCCTAGATATAGTTCCAAGTTAAATCGAGCACGGATTAAATGAGAAATTCCAATGATCGATATTTATACACTTGTGCACGCACTAGCTTTCAAATGTCAATGTTCGTGTCATATCTTGCCACGTCATCGAACTTCGCAGTTACGAAAGAAGCATGTTTTCATGAAAAGTAATGATATCAGAACGAAGACGTAGGGCAGTAGTGTTGTTGAAAGTGGAGTGTCTGTCCAGCACGGAAGTCGGTCCCTTTCCTAGCTTCATCGAGAGAGTGAATGTGATCGTTCGTGAGATTGTTGAGAATCACCCGCTGCCCGCGGGTCAGGCAATCTTTGAGATGCCGGTAAAGTGTCGAAAAATGTATGGATCAACGCATCCTTCAGAGTAATGCGTTGCGCGGGTTCGTACTCCAACATTCTTTGTATGAGATCGAACAGTTGACGATGCTCCTCATCATCAGACAGCATATAACGCTACACAGACACAAGAACATACATATTATTGTATGAAACCTAACAATTGCATTCTTGTCGAAAACTATTTTATCACTGAATAAGTTGAATAACATTTACGTTTTCAATCTTTACCAGCTTTGTTCTCGTTAGTTGAACTTTATCTCAATTCGTATAGTTTATAGCAATAATTTGACGTAAGAATTTAACAGGTAAAAATACTAACATGTAGCGGCTTGCAATTTTCTCGTACATATCTGCCGGCCGAACTTTTGTCGTCCCAATCCAGCTTGCCGTGATAGAAGTACTTGGTCTTAGTTTTGCGGGCCATACGATGTGGTATCGTGCCAAGTATGCGTTCCATCATTGCCAGGTGCTCGCGGTTATCATGTGTTTGGAATAGCGTAATGCCCAGGTATAACTCGAACAAGATGCAGCCAATGGACCAAACGTCGCAGGGTTGAGACCAGCCCAGTTCTACATACAGAAAAATACAAGATTAGAGTAATATCTTTATATTGTTCAATTTTTGCTCTCTTATGACGGAGACAGCGATATACGCAACTAAAAATATATATATATATTTTTTTAAAGATAAACACTCACCTAAAATGACTTCGGGTGCTCTATAATGTCTCGTGCTAACGATCGTGCTATGATGTTCGTGGTCGAAAGTAGCGCTACCAAAGTCGATAAGTCTGATGTCGGTTCGCTTGACGCGTCTCATGTCCCTCCGCTTGAAAAGAAAGAGCTTTTTTGAAACACTTTAGAATGGAAGCTTACCCTATATGCCGAACTGAAGCTCGACGGATTGATGGTACAAAATAACAACAGCACACCTTTTTATTGTTATACGTGCTGTCGTAGTCCGAGTCGACGAATAAGATGTTCTCCGGTTTAAGATCCGTGTGCGTGAGCTTGTTGTCATGCAAAAACTTTACGGCGTAACAAAGCTGATAGCCCATATGCCTGACGTGTTCCAGTGGATACGGCTGGTAACTGTTATCCCTCTGTAAAAATAATATCGTCAACACCTCCAACTCCGATGGCGTCGGATTCACCTTTGAGATACGCTTTGACTCACCGGAATACTCACCAGAAAGTCGAAAACACTCAGACCGAGCATCTCGAACGCGATACACATGTGCCCGTGATAATTGAACCAATCGAGCATCTTCACGCATAGACTAAAACGGAATGATCGGCTTAGTTAGTTGCTGCCATTTCATAAAACTCGTAATGTCAAACAAAACAAATATCCTTGCTTGTAGAGCAGCTTCTTGAAACTAAAGATTAAAGAATGTGTGAAACAATCGGATACTAACTGCTGGCCGTCCGGATCCTTGAAAGCAATCTTTTCAAGAGCATTTATCTCCAACTTTGCTGCCTCCCTGTACTTCTCCACGTTTTTAATAATCTTCAGAGCCATCACATGATCCCTAGAATGTTCATAATGGCGATCATGATCTGACACCTTGAAATCGTCTGCCGTCGGTTTAAATCCCGCGTTCCGCGAAGTCGAAGCCGCGCGTTGAGAATATTTTTCACGCGGACGTTCGCCGTAACTTCGTGTTCCGCTAAAGAGATCTAATTTGCGAACACCCGGCCTGTAAAACAAAGTGCAAGGCCATCCTATTATTGCGACTACTCGCGCGTCATTTTGTGACAGTGCCGGATGGCTATTTCTGCCCGCGGAACGTCGTCGCGCAACGCGCGCATTTAGGATTTTCCTCGGCGCGCGAATTGACGGTGACGCGCGTGAGGAAGCGAGCAAGTTCCAAGAGGATAGCGAGCGCGACCGCGAAAAGAGAGAAATCGAAATAAACAGGTAGAAAGATGGAGAGGGAGAACGAAAGAGAGAGAAAGAGACAAGTAAACAGTGGTAGAGACGTGCGAGACACGAAATATGTTACCTATGTACTTATGTGAGCTGACACTTACATTTGCAAGTCCTTAACCTTGACAACTTTTCCAAATGTACCCTCTCCTAGGGTGGCCAGTACTTTATCTGTAATGCAAAAGTCAAGGTAAATGCCCAGCAGATACGAGCCTCGCGGCCCACGGGAGGAGGGAGTGCTCGCCTGCGTTCACCAACCGGGACGGGACACCCTCAGGCTCGTGGCTTCGACAAACGCCGATGCCCCATGCGTCCTTAGACAAAGGAAAAGGGAGACCGCTCTCCCGAGGAGAGCCTTGAACCGGAGAGAGAGAAAAAAAATGAAAGAAAAATAGGGATCGCGCGAGAGAACGCGGGCGAGACTCTTCCGTGTGGGCGTTCGGCCGGTCGTGCGTTATCGTACACGCGCGGTTCATGGTGAACGGGATAACGAATAAACGGTATAAATGGAACGGTATCGTAGAGTTTAAATGGCGTATCGATCGGAAACATCGCTGCTCTCCTAAAGGCCCTAAAACGGGGTAAGGCAGCGTAATTCGTTTCAACGGACGCGCGGGACGTGGCATTTACTGTCGCTCACGCGGGAGGATCTTTTCCGTCTCCCGCCTTTCGTCTATTACGCGTAGGCAAGGAGTCCCAATGAGCGATAGAAAGCGACATAAAGACGGCGAGAGTAAATGCCAGTTGTCCTCGCGCGCGCGCGAGCATCAAGAGCGAGGAACACGCCGTCTCGAGGAGGACGAGGTATCGAGAAGATAGCGCAAACAAGAGGAAGGCTCTCGTCTTTCGGTCTTTCTCATTCGTCTCTGCTCCCTTCCTCCGAGCTCTCTGTCTCCAGCGAACCGCCCTCACGTTCGAAGGGAAATCGAGCGGGGAATCGAAAAGGAATCTCTCTTTGCGCCGGCTTCCCGATAATCGTCATCGTCGTCGTCATCATCGAGCCGACGGGCTTTCTACGTGCTGTTGAAACATGTGATTGCTAAATATATTTATATATATAAATATATATATATAGATATGTTATTGCTTATCTTTCTGAGATAAATCGTACATAAGCAGACAGACAGAAAGAAACTATTTCTTTTTCTTTTCTTTTTTTTGACCTTTCGCGTATCCCGGAGTTAGCGCGCGGCGAAAGTGTCCGGAAAGATCGACAGGGAGGACTTTTCGATCTAGAGAACCGCGCCAATGTGTGTACGCACAAATGCGTGTACGAGTAAGTGGGACCATAATATTATATGTATATAACATATCTCTATGCGCGTACGTATATGCTGAACGGCGATGCTCAGCGGGAACATCGATACATCAATAACGTGATTAACGCGTGAATTATTACTTGTTTTGTGTGTAATATTGTTTCATATATAATACCTATAGTTCAAGCGAAAAGTGAAAGAGAAAAGTAGAAAAAGAAATGAGAGAAAGAAAAAGAGAGAGAGAGAAGAGAAAAGAGAAAAGAAAAAAGAGAGAGAGAAGAGAAAAGAAAAAAGAAAGAGAGAGAGAGAGAGAGAGAGAGAGAGAGAGAGAGAGAGAGAGAAAGAGAGAGAGAGAGAATGGGCAGATATCGTAGATACCCGATTAGTTAATCGACCTGAGGCTTGCTTAAATCTACTACAATGAGTGTATTCACATGATCACGAACATCTATTTGCCAGGATGTCGCCGGATTGGTATACAAGGTGGCCGTCTTCGTCGTCCTCGACGGAGGGCGGTCGTGGGCTCTATTTGGGCCGGCGATATCGGTATCGGTGCGTGCCAAGAGTTGGACCCAATCGCAGATCACGGACCCGCCGTGTTCAGTATTCCGTGTTCGCGTCGCGTCGGTCCGATTCGGTAACGTGGTGGAGAGGTGTCATGCCAGACGCAGGTGCCATGTATCCAGAGGCGTCGTTGGCGGTCGGTGGGTGTCACATACGCCGTGTCCACGTGGCCAGCCATGGGATGCGGTATCCAGAGGTCGAAATCGTCAACCGATCGCCACACGCCGTGCCATCCACCACCGTCGCCACCACCACCGCGAGTCGGCGGAGACCCCGTGTAACACGCGGCGGAGGACGTGTGTAAGCACGGGACGAACGTACGAGTGTGTCGGTGGGGGTAGGAAGGTAGGATAACATCGTCATCGAGAGAGACGCCACCCGATCCGAGCGCCCGGTCGACCATAGTTGTGACCAATCCGTGTGTGCCATATCCGTTTCCATTCCATTCCATTCCATTACAACGGAGATGGTAACCCAACAATCAGAGAGAAAGGGGAGAGGGCAAAATGGTTTGCCAAATCAGAAAGTTGCGGTTACGAATTTACCATCGGCACATAATATGTATATTCTTTTCGTTTCCGTTACCTTTTACGTTTTTCTTTAGTCTATGTTTTTTATTAGCATTACTTTTTTTTCACACGGCAGTCGTTCTCTTACTTCAATTTATTAATCCCCGTTTTCGGTTCTTTTTTTTTATCTCGCTCGCCTATACATGTACTAGTTATATTATTATGTATTCGTGTTAGACCTGGTATGTGCGTGCCTTAAAGGAGCCGTCTCAAGACGCGCACGGCTCTGCGGACTAGAGCACTTCGTACGACGTGAAACGACTACAAATGCACATTCTAACGGTAGACAGACAGAGAAAAGCAGAGAGAGAATCATGTGCGTTATGTATAATCGCGATAAGGTACATGGCAATTATTTTTTTAATGACGATATATATAATATATATATACGTACTACATATACTACTATATTTAATCGACGATCATTTTGCGAACGAGACAATGAATTATTACGATTCACCCGAATCCCAATCTCGACGGAGGCTAAATAGATACCCCTCCAGAAAAAAAAACCCCCCCAAAAAAAAGAGAGAAAACGCACGCGGACGACCGGACAGCTTCTTCGAAGTGCTCGTTGCCTTTCGTCTAACACGGACTCGGAGTGGTAGCTTAGTTAAACTGTTAATTGCTTGATAGACTCGTCATAGTACTTACGTGTTCGCGTAAACCGCCGCACCACGACGATCGACAGAGATATCTCTCGATCCTCATGGGGCACGATCCTCATTGCCGTAATACGGAGCAATACTGATCGGGCTTTCGATCCTACCTTATCGAGAATACGACACGCGGACTGAACTGTCGAACTGTTCGGGTTGTCGATCGCTAGTCACTTGTACATACGATGAAATTGAACAGAAAGAGGAAAAGCAGAGCCGCGTACTCTCTCGTAATCCTTCGTACTCCCAACGTGTTATCAAGATCACAGGAACAAAAAAAACAGGGTGAGAGAGAAATGGATAGATAATCGGAAACCAGACTGCTGCATCTTCGATGTGGATACAATTCCGATCTTAATGCCAAGATTTACGTTCACTTGTGTACCGCGGCATAGCTTGGAATATTTAGCCGCCATGTAGGATGACGGCTCGATCAATTCAAGTGGTCGGACAGCCGAATTGAATCTTAGCACAAACAGTATCTACATCGCAAATGTACAAGTTATCCGTGGAACGTGTTATTCTCAATCCCCGAATGGGAAACAGACGAGATCGATAAATATTACACTCGGAGACGCGCGATAAAGGTAGATCGGCGTGGCAGGCGAGTGTTCTCCAGGTGTCCTCGTGGTACTCTCACGGCAAACATTGGCAGACGTGCAGTGTTTAGCTTATCGGAGAGGTGTAGCGACGGCTACTGCGGTTAATAGAGGCCTTTTCAACGGGCTCGCGGAACAGACGTCAGCCAGCGGTGAGTCTAGGGAGTGCTAGGACGGAAAGGGACCTGACGCGAGTCGCGCGCCCGCGTCTGCAACGCATACACACACACACACACACACGTACACACGCAAACAAACACACAGGCGAGGACGAGGAGGACAAACAACAACGGCTACGGACACGCTCTGCTTAAAACGGCGCAGCTTTCGCGAGATCGCACAATCCGTGGCTCGACAACTTACGATCGCGTCGTGGATCTTATCCACCTCGTTAATCGCGCTCGCGCTACCCGGGACTACCGCGCCCTTGGACGCGTCGTCACTCTGGTTGTTTTGCTGGTGATTGCTCTTCCTGTACTTGCTGGCGATGAGGTCCGTCGTGCTGGGACGCGCGCTCGCCTGTCCACCGGCCGCCAGCTGGCTGTAGGTGTCCTCCATGGCGGCGTACTTGAGGATCAGACTTTGGATCTCCTTTCGCTTGGCCGCCCGGTCCGACACCGCCGGATCCGCATCCTCGGCTAGCACGTCGTAAGCGTTCCGCGTAACAACATTCTGAGCGGCGTCACCGACGAAGCTCTCCGCGTTGTTGCTGGCGACTGGCGTCTTGTCCGGATCGACCGTGATCTCTTCGCCGACCGTAAACGTCAACGGTTCGATCTTGACTGGTCGGGACAACCTCAGGGACGTAGAGTGAGCTTCCAGTTGCTCGCTCTTGCCGTTTCGATGCGGCCTCACCTTCCGGCTGCGCGTTTCCGCGTGTCCGGACTTGTGTCTGCCGTAGCGACGATAAGCTTCCGAGTTGAGTAAAGTCTGCCGAGCTGTGCGGCTGTAGGCGGGCGTCTTCTCGCGCCTGGGTTCTCTGCTTATCGCGGAGCTCACGTAAGGATAAGCCTTCTCGCTGAGAAGCACACTGGTGGGACTCTTGACGATGGTGCGAGTCATCGAGGGCTCCAGAGTCTTGTCGTCGCGCACAAACGGACTGTCGTCTCGGTGGTAATAGCTGTGATCGCGCTCCTGCCTCCGCGAATAACCGCGGACGCCTCGCTCCGAGTTGTCGGCGTGTCTCTTGCCGGAATACTTGTCTAAAATCGTGCTGTACTTGTTCTCTAAGCGTGTTCGCGTGCTACCAAGTCGGCCGACCATGGGCGATCGCCTCGCGGCCGTGGCGCGGTCGTTGAGCGCGGACGTTCCGCGTACTTTCGTCGTCAACTTCTGTAGGAGGCTCGTGCAGGAGTCGCTCAGCATTTGCGTCACGCTGGTCGTGGTGGACGAGCGGGCGAAACGGCCCCGTCGCGCGACCGAGCCCTGTCGGGAGGTCGACATGGTGTCGCGCGGCGCGAATATGAACATTTGGCGCAGCCCGGTACCGCTGTCAAATCGCGAAAGCTACGCGTTACCACTGGATCTCCCAGGTCAGACAACTCCGATCCTCGACGGAACGCTCAAGATCGTCCTGGCGGATCACGCGAGGCGGTCTCAGCGCGACATGCCCGAGCCGCAGCGGCCAAGTCGTCGTGCGAGAGTGGCCACAAGAGCGATCGTACGCGAAGACATCGAGGCTGACGAGACGGTCTTCTACGCAGGTGCATCACTACGGAAAGGCGCGGGCACGCCGATCACGAAGGGAGAAAGAACGCCGCCGAGGCAAACACTAAGCTACAACCACGACGATGATCAGCAGGACGACGACCACGACGACGACAACGGACAGACGACGTCGGCCGTTCACGCGGACGAAGACGGCGGCGGCGGCGACGACGACGACGACGACAACGACGAGGAGGAGAAGGCGAAACTCAGTGCGCCCCGCCAAATACTCTCTCGTCGTATACTAAAAATACCAGGCAGCGGTGGTGTGCCCGCTCCGACGATTCGTCCACCTCTCTCGAAAGCGACTCTTCGAGAGCGATCGGAGCACGCGGAGTAACGAAAAGAGAAAGAGAGAGAGAGAGAGAGAGCGAGATGTCAGCGTAACTCGCACGCGCGATCGCGGCGAAGGAGAGACGAACGAGCGGAATTGGAGGAAGACGAAGAAAAGCGCAGGTGGAAAGCAGAGAGGACGGGAAGAGCGAAGGGGAGGAATCCGCGGGGTATTACGTAAATTGTCTCGGAACGCTCATTCGAAACGTCCCGAAGTTCCGCACGCGCTACACGGACTTGTGCGTCGTGCTTCCTGGTGCATGGAGAAGTGGTGCCCAGGAAGGGCACGATTCCTGCACGCGTCGCGGGATCAAACGCATCATGGCGCACCAGCACTGTGTTCTCACGCGAACGATCCTTTTCTCTCTCTCTCTCTCTCTCTCTCTCGCTTGCTCCGTATACCTTGACACACATAGAAATTGCGAAACGGCTGCGATGCCAATCCAATATGGAGCAGGTCTATTGCACAGCCCAATATTGGTCACCCAGTAACGACGTTGGCACTTTTTTTAATAGATAAAAATATTAGATGGACACAATATGTTGCGTTTTGTACGCGAACAAAGCGCCTTTTGCAGCACAGGTCACCTCCAGAAGAGTCTGGAGGATAAGAGACCGTGAGAAAAAGATGACATGAACGAGAGAAGAGCAACTGTATGGGATCGTCCGTATTGACTTGTTCAGTCGTCGAAATTCAGATGAATTTACAAAACGGTTCCGAAAATTTTCCTATCCACGTCCTATTTACGTGAGTTGAAACAAAAACCCTTAGAGATTTTTGGTGACTCTTATGAGAGATTAACTTCTAAATATAAAGTTGTTCCACGTGGGTTTTCAACTATCCACGCGAAGCAAGATCCGCTTCATATGCTAAATATTGCTAATTAATTGCATGTAAAATAAGCAAAACAATTCAAGCCTGATCCGCAATGCGCTCTTTGGGTCTAGACATATTCTATTTTATACAAGTAAATCAAAACGCTTAAAAACTTGACCGACAATATACAATATATATAATGTACGATTTGTCAGTTTGCACAAATTTTTTAAACGTATTTATTGACTATAAAAAAAGAATGTTTCCAGTCGCAAAGAGCACATTGTAGACCAGACATTAAAATCCAATATTCAACAAGAAGTGAATAAACGAATGAAGCGTACGTCCTAAAAACTTGGTCTAAAAGTCAAGAGCTTGATGAAAAAAATTAGTGGACGGATCCATGGACTCTAATACTATTAATAAAGCTCGGGTTGTCTCCAAGGTCGCAGTGTCGAAGATGTCGTAGATCTTGAAGTCCGAGTATCAGTATAAATACACGCCGTTTACAAAATACGCAGTTTGTTCGCGCAGACTATTCGCCCACGGATACTACTGCATCGGTCTTAGAATCATCTCCAAAATATCTTCTGGCGAAGCGATTGATTAATTTGGCTCGAGTTGGGAATCAGACCGCTTAAAAATACAGAGACACGCCCGTACGTTTCTCTACCGGAAGAAGAAGAAGAACGAGCGGATTAAATGTCGTCCAGCAGTAAAGTCACGGAGGATCGAGGGTTTTTTTTCTTCTGTTAAAATTCCATCGTCGCGCAAAGAATGAGGCCAAATACAATACTCGCACTGCAGCAGGAAAGAGCCCACAATCAATGTGGATCGCCGTTACAAACGTTTCGCTTGATGGATCGTATTTTGTCGTATCGCGAAAAAAAAATACGTCTACCAAGCCGTTTGCGTTGCGATAACGGAAGCGCCATTGCTCGGGACTACGTAGAGTTACGCGCGTTTTCTTCCGCTACTAATATTGACCAAGGTTAGGCCGTAATATTGGGTTAAAAACGGGGAAGACGAAGATGGAGGGAGGCGGGCGCCGCTCTGGAGCACACGCTCCTCGTTCTCCAAGTTGCGTCGTCGTCGTCTTCGAGAACGGGCTGCGCCAAATATAAACCGGTGGCCTGAAACGCGTGCGCCACGATAGTCATGCTGTAGAGCGAACCCAACGCGCCCGAGCTTAAATGTTAAAGTCCTGGCCGGCTAATCAGCTCGACAGGCTCGCGCAGTGTCATCGCCGTTGCTGCGTGGCCGACGGCCAATAGAAGTGGACGCACGCGTGTTTTATACGTTAACCCTTTTACCAAAGAAAGACCGATTTCCGCGTATACCTTAAACGACGTTAACTCTCCAAGCTATGCGAGGTGCCTTCGACTAACATTCGAGCGAAAAAATGTTACATCTCTCGAGACTGCTATTTTAATATCTTGATGAAACTAATCCGCTTCTTCAAATGTCTCGACGACGCCAATTTGTCCTCCTTAACATAATCGATCATTTCTTTAGTGAAAGCAAGAAAAATTTCTCAAGATTATGATGTAAAATTTTTCGAGTTCAATGCACGAGAAGGGGAATTGGGATACGTTGCAAGCCAGCATACGGTCGCAGAAATAGCGGGCATAAACAACGCGCACATACAAAAGAGCACATACACATACTCGAGCAAGTTAATTAACATTGAATATCGCGGAGCTGTACGAAGGTCTCGACGCTACCTCGGAAGTCGATGTATCGTTAGTTTCGGGAGTGACGTCAAGTTTCGCGCCGAACTCCCTGGTGGTCTCGGTGACATTGCGCTGCAACCACGTGTCCCAGTCATGACGCAGCCACCAGGGGACGTTCCCAGTCTGCATCAGCAGACTCAGTTCCTGAGTCTGGAGGGACGATGACGATGACGACGACGTGGTGGCCGACGGTGGGCCACCATCGGCCAAAGCACCGCCGCCGCCGCCGCCACCGCCGAAGGCGGTCCAATTTCCAGGATCCAGGTTGACGGTAGACGCGCGAGACGAGAGATGGTTCACCCGGGCACCTACACCTCGCGGGCCGCGTCTCACGGGCGCATCTTGCCAACTGCAAGATGCGCGTATTTCTAAATCCAGGTTGAACGGCTCTGGGCCGCCAGCCGTGCCGCCAGACTTTTCCTACCGCGGCGATGAAACGGAATCGACACGACTCTGCTTCAACGTCTCATTCTCGAAGACGAAGTATTAACTCGTCCGTAGATTAATTCGTTACTCTCGAGGCACTTTCTCGATTCGAAATAGCAGCCGGAGCTTCGTTCGTTTCAGATGCGAAGATGTCGCCGACGCGCTACGCTCGGGTGTACGAGCGGGTCGAAAATCTGTGAGGGCGTTTTTGAAATCTGTACTTCCTGATTAATTCGGCGACGAAGAGAAGCCCTCGCGGCCGCTCTCGGTGAACCGGCCGGCGCAACGTTCCTCGACGGCGGCGACGTCGGCGACGATGTTGCGTTGGCCATCTGGCGCAAACTCGCACTAAAACCGCGGCGAAACCGCGTGACGAGTCCCCCTCGAAAATAGTCGCCGGTCGAAAATAGCCGGCGCCGAGTAAGAAAGAAGAATCATCGGCATTCTCGCTCCGGGTATACGCCCGTCGTGCCCGCTGCGCCGCGAGATTCTCCAGAGACTGTTCGCGCCTGGTAGAGCGCGTCGAAGCGCTAACTCTTCTCCCTCTGTGTCCTCGCTCGTCCTCATGCTTCCATATATCGATCATCATCAAGGGTCTCCAGTATCAAAGCTCGATACGCGGCATAAGAATTAGTCCGCGCGTTTAATACACCGACGAATTGAACAACTCCGTTTTCCAAAAACTGAGTTAGGTGTTGAGAAGGTGAGCTCTTCACAGATTGTCCGTTGACTTCAGCCCAGCTCCTGCACCTGGCTCCCTCCCACGCATGCATTGTTACCGCTTGCTCGAGGTTTGATAAGAAATATGCGAGACTTAGCCGCCGCCATACCACGCATGAAGAATTAGTTCATTGCGAAATTTTACGACAGCGTTCGTGGTTATGAAACGACCTCGATCGCCTCATGAAGTCGCATAAGGCATAATTCAACCTAACCATACGAGTCTGATCGACGATAAAAGTGGTTTGATTAATGGTAGAAAAAAAAACACGTGCATAAAACGCCTTTGTTAAACAGAAATCCGTGTAATCGCTATTAAAGTTTGCCGTGAGATTTCCACAAGGATGCTCGAGGAGAGTACGTTCCAGATACGCACGAATAAAGAGAAGCATTTCCATCTTACGTACATAATAGGAGAAAAATTAATATCCTACGTTCCAAGTGTGTGGAAAGTGTACTGGAACATACGATCTTAAACTTCTCTTCAAAATATGGACCCAAGAAGGTTTGGAAAGGAGCTTTTCACGTAGCGAGTGATCCATCCCCAAAATAACCCGCGATTTCCTTCAATAACATCGTCGACAAGTACGACAGAGTACGACAGGCGTCTGCTGTGTAATGTTTCTCGTAGATTCAGGGGTTGAAAGCATGAGCGGATCGACTGTTTGCAGATCGGTCGTGTATCACGCGGCAGTAAAACGTATAGCGGTCAGGGAGCGCGTAATAATCGATGCTGATAACGTGTGTCACATTGTCCCTCGGACTCACCTGACTCCTGGTGGACGGCGATCGATGGCGGTGACGCTCCTGGCTGGGCGACGACGAGCCGTGGTGACGGTGAAGGCGCGTGCGACGGGACGACGTGGGGTGCGCCAGGTGAACGCGATCGCGATCGCGTTCGCGATGTCCATGCTGCCGGCCGCTGCTAGGTGACCTGCGATGACTGCGCTTGTACCGACGTTCCTGGCTGGTTCCCCGCTCGTGTTGACGGGACCTCAGCACTCGTTCCCCGCTGAAACGCGAACCAAGGGGAAACAGTTAATTTGAACGTCGCTGTAAAACTCGAGTGGACAG